CCCAGCAGACCTGGGGATTTTCTACCACTCACGAAATGACTAGGGCAGACCAAGAAGCTGTTCATCTCAGGCCCTGCAATGTAGGCTAAGTTTTGCAACGTGCTGGAGTGATTTTACTAGAAAGGTCTATTTTCCTTGACCTGAGGCTTGGTGGAACATCAAGTTAGAATTAATGGCATTTTGGGTCAGTGATGGTTTATCCAAGCAAGAATGAATTTACCCAGAACCTGCCACAATGGGCAGCTGAGTGCAGAGGTTAGAACGCTGAACTAGTGTACCAACCTTCGTGTGAGTTTGGTGCCGGAGTAGGTTAAACAAGAAGACATGCTCTTGGAGAGCTCCTTTTTAAAACACCTTCTAAACGGGTCACACTGATAGACCTTTTCCCGTGTGGGTGAAGATCTCCCCTGGCTCTGGACCCGTGTCCCCTTGGTCTTCCTGGCAACCCTAACGTGCCGGGTGGCGTTTCTCCCTCCAGAGAGGCTCCACCCTGAATCTAAAAGTGTCCTCAAACGGTTGATGTTGCCCTTTGGGTCTCTCAGAGGGAGGGACTTGGACAGTTTATTTATGATGTTATACAGGAGATTTATTAGAGACCAGAGGGCTCAACGGAAAACGTTCTTGATTTATTTCCAGTTGGAAAGGCTTGTTTGAAAGATGCAACAGCCAGTTGCTATTAGCCTCAGCAGTTGCTATTGAGTCACAGCAGATCCCTAATCACAGGGAGGGGCCTCTGTGTCTTGGGATAGCGTACAGACATCTTGGGAGTCCTATGTGTCTGCAGGGGTTTGCCGCGTGGCCAGTACCACGACCATAGACGCCAGTGCTCTCCGGTGGTCTGTGTTCCATGGCTATGCACACCGCAGACTTACTCTAACTTTGTGAATATTAGCAGCTGTACATTGAGGATGTTGAGAGGTCATAAAAAGTTACTTAATTCGGGGTTAGGAGTAGTAGCCGAGTGGATAAGCCTGTGGACTCTTGGTGCCAGGCTGTCTGGGTTGGAATCCTGGCTCCATCCTTACTAGCTCTTGGAATATGAGCGTGCTTCTTACCTTCACCGTGTCTCAGTTTCTGTATCTGGAAAGTGAAGATCATAAGATTACCCATTTTGTAGGGTTGCTTTAAGGATACAATGAATTATTACTTGTAAAGTGCTTAGAGTAGTGCCCGGCACATACATAGTAAGTGCACAATATGTGTTAGCTACTATTACCACCATTGGTCTATTAATAATACCCTTTGGGGTAATACTTTTGGTTGGCATTCGTGTTGAGAAAGCCCATTGGAAAGTCGTCATGCATTATCAGGGCTTGAAGGATACACGGCCCTGAAGGCTCGGTCCCTTTCAAGATATGAAAGGGAGAAAGGACTGTGAACACTCATGGAACAGTTGACCTGAAACAAAGTTTTGACACCACCTTTGCAATCGCAGCTGGCTGGATGCTCCGGGATTAGGAGGTGGACCTTTTTCATGCGATTAAGATAAATGCATGCTGTGGAATTTCCACATTGCACAGCATTCCTGCATTCATTTGGCAGCCCTTGGCTGGCACCTACTGTGTGCCAGGCCCCGTTTAAGCCTTGAAGTCTAGGAAGGCTGAAAGATGAGTTTACCTATTTTTTCCTCTCTTGGCTGATCAGAGCACACGCAACCACACACTTCTACTTGCACACACACATATAGACACACTCACACAACACATGCAGTATTGTCTATAAACTTACGTTGACTGTGGCACAAAGGCTTTTATTCGAAAGTCTCGGCCTGTATTGGTTTCTATTGCATTTGCATATCTGTTTGCATATCTCTAGCCAGAGTTAATTTTAATAAGACTGAAACTGCCACTGAGCGCCAAGCCACGTCCATGCCTCAGACGTTATTTTTAACCTGGGAGTGACAGAAACCACCTGGCTGAGCACTGACAGGCAGTTGGCCTGTCCCGCTCTCTGCTGCAGGCTCCCCCATCAGCCTCACCTCCAGGGAGCTGATTGGGAGGCTTTGTTTTTCTTTTGTAGGCTAGACAAGCAGAGCCCCACACAGGCTGCCACCCCAGAAGGGCTGCCACCCGGAGTGACAGTTTCCCTTTGCTAAGATTGGCTAACAGAGGTCAAAGCTGAAAATGTCAGGAGACACAAACAGTATTTCAAAACGGCCTTGTGCATGTCCCTCCTCTGTGCTCCGCTGTGTCATCGGCCCCGTGCTGTGTGGCTGTTTTGAGAAGCACAGCATTCTCCACCCCAAAAGGAATTAATCTCACGCAAAACAAAAACCCATTTCCTCCATTTCACCTACTTCGGATGCTTTTTTAGAGCAGCGACAGGCTAATGAGGCAAACAGAGGAAAAGAAGACCAGCTGATATGGGCTCATGTCATTTCAAAGCTCCATTTCTTGTTTTTTCTTCCACTACGTTCAGTTAAGAAAGAGCATACAGAAGGTCAACAGTTCTCATAACATCTCATTTCGCATTTGTCTGACTCTGTTTTCTTCTGGTTGGAACCTGCTTCCTGCTCAGAAAGGAGGAAGCAGTTGTTGTCTGTACAACTCAATCATACTGGCCCTCTTCTGCTCTTACGTCACAGCGGGTTAGGTGTGCTTCTCTGCTTTAGAGTGAAATCCTCCTCTAGTCGTAACAAGAGGAACTGAGGGTGAATAGCAAAGTGGTTTGGAACACGGTCTGGCATTAAACAGGCCTAAGGTGAATTCTACCTCTGCCACTTATTAGCTAGGCAAACTTGGAAAGTTGTTCGATTTTTCTGAGCTTTAATATTTTTACCTATAAATAATATGTACATACATGCATTAAATTCACCTCTTAGGGTTCTTGGAAGCTGATGCAACCCAGAACCCTGAAGGTTCTGGGCACCCAGGGACAGTGCGGGAGGGAGCAGGTTTCCAGTACCCGGCTATTGGGTCGGTACAGTAGAACAAGCACCTGGGATTCCGGGAGGCGACTACAGCCTTTGGACAGACATCCTCACCTCCCTGGGCAGCTCAGTTCTCTGAGTCTCAGTTTTCTTGTTGATAAATAAGTGGGATCTTCCTGACTACCTCCAGACCTGCCCACAGGAGTCTGAGGAAAGGCGGGTCTGTCTGGGTCCAGACCTGGCTCATAACTGACAACGCGCTGCCCGGTCTGGCACGTGGCCCACCCTGCGGCGGGCGGGCCCGAGAACTGTCAGTAAGCGTCCTTTGGGAGGGTCCAGCTTTGAGGCTCAAGGAAGTGCTCAGGAGGAATTAGAGTTCACCAGGACAGTTTCAGTAATGTGACCTTTCTGTGTTGGAGCGAACTCAAGTGCAAACTGGGGATAATACAGTCCCCAAAAGAAAAAAAAAGAATTTTCAATTAAGGCCTTTTAAGACTTTTGAGATTGTTACAGAGGATCCTGTAGAAGCAGAGGGTTGTTTAGCTCCTTATTGAGACTTCAGATGAATGTCTGCAAAACTCACAGAAGTCCTTGAATTAAATCACTCTTTCACCAGTGGGCAGCGGTTAGGCTTATGTTAAATGCCATTAACTTTCGGGAGCAAACAACAGGTCTTGGATCGATCTGTCAAGATGTTAAAGTATGTTTTTCAAGAAATTTCAGTGAGTCATTTATTCACTCAACAATATTTGCTGAGCCTCTCTGTCAGGTACCATTGTGAGCATTAAAAGCAGCTGTAAACCACTAAAAGGCCTTTGCTTGTGTGTGTGTGTGTGTGTGTGTGTGTGTGTGTGTTTGTCTCACAAAAAGGGCAGATAGAGAATAATTAACTGCATAAACAAATAAATAAGTTGCTGTCGAAGGTGTGAATGCAAGGTGAGCGGAGGGGGACGCTGCAAGTTTGGTGAGGGTGTTCCGCCGGGAAGGACTCTGAGAGGAGGTGATGTGGAGCTGGCAAACAAGAATGCAGTGATCGAGGACAGAAATTGCGAGACAGTGGGAAAGGCAGATATAAATGTTCTAAGGTGGGAAAGCGCTCAGAGTGCCCCAAAAAACTGAAGGGAAGCTTTGTCTCTGGAGCTGAACGAGCTACTTACAGGCTAGAGAGGGAGACGGGAGCCAGATCTTGTAGATCTTATCAGCTGTGATAAGGAAATTTATTCTGGGTGCAAGCAGAAGCCACTGGAGGTTATAAACCCGGGAGCAACACCACAGGATTGTGGGAAAATGCTCATAATACAAGATTAAGGGTGGGGTGGAGAGGGAGACTCCCAAATCTCAAACTGTATATTTAGTGTCATTTTAACTACAAAAACACATACACACATTCGGAAAACTGAAAGAAGATACAGCAAAATGTTTAAAATGTTAGCTGTAGTTTCTTAGCGATGGACTTGCTTTTCTTTCACTACTTTCCAGAATTTTGTAAGTTTTCCACAAGTTTGTATTGCTTTACAAATCAGAAACAAATCATATACTTTTAATTGTTTCTTTTCTTTTTTAAATATATTCATTTACCTACTGAGAGATCTCTTGGTTGCTTCCAAATGTCGACAATTACGAGTAAAGCTGCTATAAACAGCTGCGTGTGGGGTTTTGTGTGGACAGAAGTTCTGAGCTCCTTTGGGCAAGTAACGAGGAGTGTGATCGCTGAGCTATATGGCGAGAGAACGCTGAGTTTTGTTGTGGCTGTACCATTTTTTAGGTGGTAAAAGACAAACTGGGACTTACTCAACATTTAAAGAGTTTATTTGAGCAAAAATCCATTTCAACTGGACAGCGCCAAACCCAAAGTGGTCAGGAGCAGTCCCAATCATGTGCTTTTTAAAAACTTGGTTGTGCTGCAGTGGATGGAGACACCGTCAGAGTGAGGCGACTTGATGGTGTCTTACTCCAGGTTTGAGTTTCTAGGAATGTTTGAGGTGCTTTGGAATGTTGGAGTAATTCTTGAAGGCTCTGGCCAGTAGAGAAGATTATTTGGCTTTTTAATGCGGCTGCTCAAAAACAAACTTCTTATCCCTTCCAGGTTGTTTATGCAAAAGAAACTTAACATTTTTGTTCCATCCCACAGATCTGAATGTAACCTGCCGATACTCAGGTGTATTCCACGTGGAGAAAAATGGTCGCTACAGCATCTCACGAACAGAGGCTGCTGACCTCTGCGCGGCTTTCAATTGCACCCTGCCCACCATGGCCCAGATGGAGGAAGCCCGGAGTGTTGGATTTGAGACTTGCAGGTGAGAGACCAGCCGCAGTCCAAGGGCCACCCGGGCCTATGGGGCGGGGCTTAGTGCTGAGAAGGCTCCTCCCTGACAGCTGATTGGATGATTGCTTATCGGCCCCACCTATCAATTTGGTATGGTCTACTGGAACCTGTAGGGCAGCTGAAATTTAAAGTCTTCGAAAGACACCTTGTGAATCATAGCGGGGTTGCCCAGAGGCCATTAAGGGTCAGCCTCTGGAATCTTCCTGCCTGAAGTGCTTCCCCAAAGCACTCTCCTGGCTTTGAAGAAAGCGTGCAGTGTTATTGTCGGAACCACAAGGAAGCATATGCCAAATAACAGTGTTTAAAATAACTAAGTGCTTGGAGTCTTGGCCCTGCAGACTTGGCTTAAAGTGGGTTTTTCAAACAACTCTCTCTCTCTGGTTCTCACTCTCTTTGTTTGTTTTTTCATTCTCTTCTATGTTGCTTTTGTTTGAGGGGGCTACAAAAAGGTGGATATGAAAATTATTCACACAAATCACTGGTGATTGGGAAACGATGGGAGGGGCTGAGAACGGCCTTTTGAGAGCTTCTGTGGATGACAGATATCACAAGCTCTGTGGAGCTTTCTCCAAACTCTTCTGCTGGAGGACAATTACAGCAGGCAATGGCCTTTTTTGAGTTTCTTTGGCCACAGGGTGAGTAAGTGGTGCACTTTAAGAGCAAGCAGGGGTGACAACCACAGCGAAGTGCATGGTTTGGTTTGTTTTCACTAGAAGCTCTCTGAGTCATCTGAGCAACTGCTAAGTTTCCATCCCAGCCCATGCTACCCTCTCTGTGCTTTTGCAATGTGATGTCACTAGGAACATTAAATACATCTAACCCCCATCCTTGGTTAGAGATTGAGGCACCCACTTTACGAGCGGTAGCTGAGGCTCTTGCTGAAAGGGAAAAGGGAAATCTTGAGGTCTAATATGGTAGCCACTAGTCACGTGTGGCGATCTGTACTTAATTAAGTGAAATTGAAACCTTGATTCTTCAATCACACAGTAGCTACACTTCGACTAGCCACAAATGGCTAGTGGCTCCTGTATGGGACAACATCAATTACAGACCGTTTCCATGATAACAGAAAGTTCTGTCACACAGCATTGCTCTAAAACAAACAGCAGATGAATAAGACATCTGTATGTGTTCAGAACTGTGTCTGCGAGAGCATAAAAGGATCAGAGAAAGGGAGCTGGCTCTGGGAGCTGCTCACCCTGAGCTGTAGTCTGCAGTGAAGGGAGGCCAGTCAGCAGATTCATTGATTCTGTCTCCAAGGCTAATTGTTTACATATCGCCCGGACTAGGTCAGTAACTGTACTTGAACAACAATAAAAATGAATGAGTAAATAAATAAATAAAATATATTTTTAAAATTTCACTAAGAAAGTGAGTTTGGTAAGCTGAGTTTTGGTTGTGAAATGCAGGCAAGACATGGTTACAAAGTACAGAAATCTTCTCATATTCTGAGAAAAGGGAAGTTCTTACTATTTCCACTGGTTAATCATCAAACATGTAGATGCTGGGCACTTGCTCACAACCTTCACTTAACCCTTCAAATGGCACCGTGGTCGGTTACATTACTCCACATGTGGGTGAAGCAAGTGAAGCTTAGGGAAGTTCCACAGCTCACCATGGGCCACGTTGCTTGCAGGGGGAGGAGTCCAGATTCAGGTCTGGCTTCATCTGAGCCCAGGGCAAGACTTTAATGACCAAGCCCCTCCAGAAAGACTGAGAGCAAAAGGGAGATGCAAGCATGACGTGTGGATTTGCTGAGTATTTCTTTTCTCCCTGTGAACAGCAACCTACTCATGTGGTGCAGACACATACAAATGTTAATATCTCCAACCCCTGTACAGTGTGACACACAAAACTGCCTGTCAACCTGATGTGGCAAAACTCAGGAATAACTTAACAAAGGGAATGTAGATTCTAGAATCTAGATTGTCAGTGTGATGCAGACTGGATGCATGCAGTGAGGGTGGGATGGAGTGTAGGCCTACTAAGGAGTACTGTTATTAAAAAAAGAAAAAAGAAAAGAAGCACTATGCCAAAGAAACCTACTGTTGCCTCCATAGCTGGTATTAAGTGTTGCAAAACTCATTTCCATAATTTCACTTGTCGCTCTGAATCAGCTATCTGCCATAGGACAGATGGCAGAGTCTTAGGCTATGATAGAACCTTAGCGGCTACTCTCTTCTGTCTGCCTCACCCTGATTAGTAGCAATTCTCAGGTATATGGTACTTAACGAACATGTAATTGCCACCCCTCCCCTCACCAAGCTAAGGAGTCTTTGGAGGAACCAGACTGTCAGTTTAGATGAGGAGTTAGTCATGCAAGCTAGAATTGCAACACAGACATTAATGACTTTTAGTACTTCGAAATTTCAAACTCAGAGCCATTTCCATGGGTCTGGCAGGGCAACACACTATTGTTGCCCCCGGCAGGAGAGATTAAAAGGATTGTGCCTTTTAGCCAGCATTGCATTTTTCAGAAACCTGCTGGATTTAGCTTCTCCCTTTCTGCCCTTCCCCTGCTACCACCTCATCCCTTGCAGATGGTATTTTCTCAGCCCACATCTCTCTCTTTTTTTTTTGAGGCCTTTATAGTCCAGAGACATTGTGCAGTAAGTGAATCTTTAGCCACCGTGGTGCTGGTAGGAGGTGCTGGGTGCTGTGTGTTGTATCTGACGGGGCCTCCAGCTCCAACATGCTCCCAGAAACACCTTGGTGGGGCGGAGGGGCTTAAGAGCTTCCCTGGCTGTGCTGCTTCTGGAAAATCCTGGAGTGAAATGAAGCATTGCTATCTACTTATTAATCATGATTACTCCTCTTTCAATGACGGTCAGTTTACTTCCACTGGCAATGAAATGATGCCTGGGATGCTCACGAGGCAAAATGCTCTCGTATCTGTCATAAGAGCAAGGCTTCGTGTTTAGAGTAATGGAATCTGGGATGAAGGAATCCCAGGAAACGGTGAGGCAGGGAGAGAAGTTTAGGGATGGGAAAGAGGACAGTTTTGACATTTGAGGACTGAAAGGAAGAGCCACCTCGTTCTGTCTTACAGGGGCAGGTCATCTTACGCATTTTGTGAAAAATGGGAAGGTACTGGGGAACCAGAGTGAATCTCACACCATAAAGTGGTTTTCTTTCCTCTTCCGTGACTCGGGCTTCCTTCTTCTTGTTCAAACTGACTTGACCACAACTTTTCTTTGAAATAAATATTTTCCTTTCATGAATCTTTTTTTTTAAAAAGCTCTCATAGAACCCTCCATGAAATTACCTCTATCAGCACTATTGATCGCTTTCACTCTTTCTCTGCTGTTATTTTTAGATTTCACGTACCTCAGTGGTTGAAACTCCTAACGCCCCTTGGGGTGAGTGGAACGAAGCATTGCCCTGCATGGCATGGCATTGGATGGGATGTGATGAATGCCTGTCACAGCCCCGCAGAGGGGTAACTGCTGGTGTTTCTTTTGCAGGTACGGGTTCATAGAAGGGCACGTGGTGATCCCCCGGATCCACCCCAACTCCATCTGTGCTGCAAACCACACGGGGGTGTACATCCTCTCCTCCAACACCTCCCAGTATGACACGTACTGCTTCAATGCTTCAGGTTAGTTCTGGGTGGACCGTCTTTGTGTTTTGGGTGGCTTTCGGCGGGCAAGCCTGTGGTGGTGTGGCCCAGAGCGATTCAATTTCGGCTTCAGCGAGCCCATGTAGCTTCCAGAGGCTCACTGACTATCTCTACAGCAGAGACAAGATTTCTGTCTCTAGGGTGCGTACCTGCTAAGTTGGGGAGGCCAACAGGAAACAAATGAATGAGAAAGAGAAAGGGAAGGGGCCTTGAGGAGAGCCCTGAGCAAAATGTGGGAGAAAGCCCTGAGCAGAGTGGGTGGCCGGTGCAAAGCCAGGCGTGCGGGAGCACCTTGGCCTGTGCTGGGAACAGCAGGGAGGCCGCGGTGAATAAAGCCCAGTGCTCAGAGGAATTAATGACAGGGGATGAAGTCAGAGAGGTAGGCAGGTGCCCGATCACATAAGGGCTCAGAGGCCATGGTGGCAAGTTTGGAGTTTGTTCTCAGTGTGATGGGAAGTCATGGCAGGGTTTTGGAGAGGGGCGGGACATGAATCTAATGATAGCACTGGGGCACAAGCCAAATGGCTTAGCTTAGAGGTATTTATTACATGTTGAGAGACAGTTGGGAGGATATATGGTAGGCCTTTGACCTTGTCGAGAGTCCTTACTCAACAATGGAGAGCCCAGCAGCTAGAGAACAAGAAAGCCAAGTTAAGATCTGCAGGCTGGGCTGCTGGCCAGCCCTCCTCCCTGTCTAAGGGACTTACTTCCAACCACTAGCCTAGAAACACATGCTGACAAGTCTAATTCAGGCCCCAGCAAAACTGAAGAATCCTATGCATCATGAATCTTCAGGGTTTTTTGAGAAAGGTCAAACCCATAAAGGCCAGTTTTTTGAATGCTAACAATGAAATGTTTTACTTCTCAAACTGAGCCTTCTGTTGTGCCTAAAAGTCTGAGATTGTGTGAAGGGGAAGCGAAAGCCACAAGGTGAACTTGACACATCTACCCGGCACACCAGTTTTCCTGAAGGACAGGAAGGGCGTCCTTCCTGTCTTAAATGAGCCGGAAAGTGACTTAAGACATCTTCCATATGGGATGAACACAGATGTTATTATATGATGGCTTAAGGCCTTATTTTTATGAGACAAACACAGATACTATATATGGTAATAGAATATAAAATCTGCATGGGACTTTTAAGTTAAAGTAGGGACATCAAAGAAATTGTAAGATTACATCAATAGTTTCAGGATACGTCACCCACCTACTGTTGCGTGAGCGGTGGGGATCAGAGTGAGGATTCCGAGGGGAAAACCAGAATGAAGGAGAAAGAGAAATGATCAGAGCTGGTTAGAAGGAATGGACTGACCAAAAATATATACAGGTCACTAACCCTATGGAGGGACACTCAAAGTAGGGAGAGAACTGTAGAATATGTAGTCCTCCTCCTCCTATGAACAAAGAACACAAACGGAATTTAACCAGAAGGAGAAGAGTCCTGCTGATGCGACATAGGGCATGGCCCACACCCAGGTCCCACACCCACACCCAGAATGTCCATTCTAATGACATGATGAGAAAAAACCCTTGGAAATAAATAAGAAATGGACACAGAGCTGCATATGGTCTAGCTCACTTATCTTAATGCCAGAGCTGCTGGAAGATCCAGGAAGACCGTGGTTTAGATGAGGGCGTTGGTCACGGGGAAAAGCGCTGGCACCAGACAGCAGACTCTTGAGTGGGCGCCGCCTGCTGCGTCTCCCACCGAGTTGTGTCGAGTGAATATGTGCAAGTTGTTGCGTATCCACACTGTCTCCCTGATTTACGAGCGGCTATCACTTGCTGAAAGGAAACTTAATTTGAAAAAGGTGGAAGCTTACCCTGTTTTATTACCTGGAAATGAAGCCATCTAGGCAAGCTACTACTGGGAGTTTTCTCCCCGTCCTTATTTTTGCCCATGAGGTTGGGCCTGTCCTCAGAGAAAGGAGCGAACAGCACTGATTACCTGTCCTTTTCATTTGGTGATGGCGGAGTGGGGGCGGGGGGGCGGGGGTAGTTTAGTTGAAAAGTTGGAGAAGTCCTGGGGGTGTATTGCATAGAAAAGTGGCTGTATGAAAGTAGTGAAGTTCAAAGGGATATATATTCTTTCCTTTTTTTCAAAATTTACTCAGTAGGGATAGGCTGCTTCTGTATGGTTTTCAGCTGCCTGCGCTCTGTACGGTGCAGGGCGGAGTGGAGTGAGAAAGAACTGGAGACCCTACTTCTTATCCGGGGAGTTAATCCTGTTGAAGCAACAAGATAAAAAGCATAGGAGCTTGAAAAGAATGTTTATTTAAGGATAAATGAATTCTGTCTTGGTTTAGAGTCCGATGATAGTGGGCATTAAACAAGCTACAGATCTAGATAACCTTCTGCTGTGAAGGATCTCCTTGGAAAGATCCTTGACTCCAACTCAGCCTGAGAACTACCAGCAGGACCCCGCGTAACAGTTCCCCCACAAACTGGTTCCAGGGACCACAGCCAGCTCCGTCTTAGCAGAGAGCTTCTGCATGTTTACAATTCAGCAGCACTTGTCTAAAACACAGCCTGTGGCTTACAAATGAAAATCAGGCAGACCCTGAGATGGCTTTGTGGTTTTTTCTTGCTTCAGCTGTCAGCGATAAGGCCCAGCGTGAGGCCCGTGACTTCTGTGTTAACCACACGGAGGGCTGACTTGAATTAGTTCATTTTTTAAATCGACTTTGAATGAAATGCTTCATCCTCTTCTGAAGGAGAGATTGAGGGAAGATTCTACATGTGTTTGTTTATTCATTTACTCATTGACTGAACAAGTATTTCTTGGATACCTAGCATGTGTCAGACATTGAGGGAGGGGCCTGTGTGGCACCGAGCGATCGGCTAGACTGAGTAATTAACATTTCTCTTGGCTTTTTAGTGCAGTGGAGGCGAGGTGTTGAGATGCAGCCCACCAGGAAGCTCACCTCGGGGTCTTTCTAACGAATCTTTAGGTTCAGGAAAAGCGCACCCGGCCCGATTCTCCCAGCAACACAGCGCTCATTAAACAGAATGAAAGGCGGCCTAACGAGGCCCTGCTATCGGACTTGGGAGCGCGAACGTAGTAATTGCACATTTGGGTCACCACCCGTCTTAGTATGCTTGCCAGCTTTGATGTGCTTTACAGAAGAAGGTGAATTGGAGCATGAAAGGGGGTCCATGTGAACGAGTGCTCTAATCATTCACAAAACCGTCTTGAGTGTTTTTGACACCATGCCCCCTTCTATTACAATGCATATCCTAGAAATTCCCAGGGCACTCCGCTGTTACCTGCAGTTATTTTTGAATTTGGGGGACTTTCTTCCATTCGTGCCATTAAGAAGCCATCATCTAAGGGATGTTCCTGGGTCCGTGCAATGTGACAGTATCAGAAGCGTGTCACGGGTCAGCCTGGCTTCTGGTGGCGTCCCCAAAGCAGACTGGGGAGAGACGCTTCAAGATTGCCCAGTGTGGCTTTTTGCCCTGATTTTGAAGTGAGGGATTCATTGGGAAAAAATATTTGGAAAACTTTAAAAATCTAAAGAAATATTAATTATTACTGTCTTCCATGACCTTGTGAATTCCTCAAAAGCAGGGACAAGAACATGTTTATTTTTTTCTTTGCTCTTTTTAAAAATTATGTGATCTGCTATATGTGTTGAGCAATGGCTTAAAATGAATAAATGAACTGATAGATCCATAACTCTTTTTAATTATTTCTATGGCATTGCCATTCAGGTTTTATATAAATGTTTTTTGACTTGTTTATATATACAGACCATTTTGAGGATTAACATCTTAGGTGTGTTTACTAGAAGAATGGACTTTTTCTTCCTTTCTCATTCATTCAACAATATCTATTGAGTACCTCTCTGTCCCCATCACACATAAATGTTCTGACCATGACAGATGAGGCTCCTACTCATCTTCTGGAGCTTAAATATTTCTATGGAAGTGGGTGCGGAGCAGATGGTAGCGGTTGGGAGATGTGCCATGAACAGCCATTATGTACAATGAACAGGATAATTTTAGACAGTGGGAAGCCTGAGGCAGAAATGAGAGCAGGTGATGCATGATGGTGTCAGGTATGGCGGGTGGTGAGGGGCTGGTTTAGATCGGATGGTGAGAAATGGCTTTCCCGGGGAGGCGACTTTTTCTCTTCCATGAAATCTTTTAATAAGACTTTGCAAGAATAGCTTTTCCTAAAACCTGCTCTTCTCTAGTTGGAATATAAAGCTGCCATTTAGTTTCACTACAAGGCCAAAGAAACAGGCAGGCAAAAAGCATCCTGTTTATCTGTCGGAAAAGATGCTCCTAGGAACTGGGAAGCAACCAAACCCTGTTTTGTTCAACTTGGGTTTTTGTTCAATGTTATGGGCACCCAATGGTTTATGGCAGGACACTTAGAATACTTGTGATAATAGCCTTCCTTGTGATAGACAGCATTCTGCCTGCCTCCATCCATCCATCCATCCCTCCCTCCATCTGTCTGTCCATCTGTCCCTTTCTTCCTCACTCTTTGCCGACAAGCAACTCTGGGAGAAACCAACCTAAGCAATAAGTTGCTATTTTACATTTAAGCGAGCATATTCACATGCACACAGTATAAAAAGCTGCAATGCACAATTGGATCCAACCTTCCTGTAACTGCAAAGCCAATTTAAATCTCTTTGAGATTTTAGAGCTCATCACAGCTCTAGGTACCGAATAGAGCACGTGGACACGAATGGAACAGTTGGTTAAGGCAATCTGCCATCTTTTTTTAGGACCCAAGGGACAGCAGACAAGGTAGACCTTTCAGGGCCTGTTCCCACAGGGTTTCACACGGTGTTTCTCAGAGGGCTGCTGTTGACATCTTGGGTATCCAGGCAGGCCCAAGGTCTGGTCAGAAATCTTTATTCCCAAGGGTGTGGGGAGGGAGTAGATGATAAATGGAGGACAAAAGAAAAAGAAGCCAGAGATACCCACAGCGAGATATGCCAGAACAGCAGCCTCAGGAAGTACTCTGGGCACCTAGACCAGAGGTAGACGACTCCAGAAACTTCGTGCTGAGAAGTCCAATTAATAAAAAAAATGAATACATTAACAAAAGACTGAAGCCTAGTCTGTCTTTAAATGTTTCTATCAACAAATTTTGTTGGCTATTTTAATATTTAGATTCTCATATTGTTCATGTTGATAAACATTTGCTTGTATTTTTCTGCCATGTTTTTTCATTATTTCTGTAGATTATTGAGATTATACATGACTTTTCTTATTGTAGTTATACATGTCTCTAAAATTTTTTTCAGAGTTCCCAGATTACTTTTATAATAACAAATTAAACAATAAATTTTTAATGTGTGCTTCCTTAGAGAAGGACCATATCTATCTTATTCATCGTTGTACCCTCAGCCTTCCACAATGCCTGACACAGAACATAGGTGTTTGTTAATGAATGAATTTGCTGATGTGGGAAAAGGAACACGTGAGCTTCCAAAAAATGTATGAAGCTAAATAAAAATGGGAACTGTGTCACAAGGGCCAGAGAAGTTCCTAGGAGACTTAACTAGGGTTCAGAAAAAGAAAATTATTTGGGATGAGAAAAAGAAAATTATTTGGGAATGGAGGAAACTCCATTCCAATTTAGTAATAGAAAAGGTCATCAGTTTTGCTCATAATTTTTTAGAGTTCTCATGCCTTTTTTCTTTTCTACCTTGTAGCACCACAGGGAGAAGACTGTACATCAATCACAGACCTGCCGAATGCCTTTGACGGACCAATTACCATAAGTATGTATCTTTCCTAACTTTGATTGAGTTTTTCTGTTCTTGGGAAAGGGGTCAGGTGTCTGTTCTATGTTTTATATTTGCCTGGGCTAACAGTCTTTTCCCTAAGGTGAGGCACCTTGGCTGTGGTTCAGTGTCCCTTCCTCTTTTCCTGCAACGGCTTAAAATGCTGCCTGGTTTACCCCAACGCCCTGTTCCTCAAACTGCAGTCATTTGAAAACCACTCTCCACTCTCACTTTACGTGGCACTTCCTTGTACACAGCACTGTTATTGATACTTTGCTTTTAATCGACCCATTCTTTTGTGCCTAAAATACATTTATTTTTTAAAAACTGCAAACAAAACGTCAACATCCCTGGTCATAAATAGAAGATAACCTTAAAAGTAAATTGAAATGTAGGGAAAATTAAATAATGCTCTTAAATTCTGGCAGCCGAAGGCTCTGACCTGTGTTCTGTCTCATAGAGGAGGATTAACAGATGGTAGGGTGGGGTCCTTCTGTTGCCCAGGTTTTGTGTTAGCATTACGCACAAATCAAAACTATTTTAATTGTTTCTGGAGTATTGAAAAACAATTATAAAGGGTATAAACTTCCCCATAGGTGATTCAATATGGTTTATACCAGCCCACTGAAAATGATCCCCAGAAGTAGGCATCTAACACTGCAGAAAACAGAATATCTCAACCCAAATTTTCAAATAGGTCAGCTTATTGATGCTGATCTTATTGCCTCTGAACCTCATATCTTTGAGAAGAAGCACAGTGTTGGGGAGGCCTGAGGTCTGCCTGCTGAGAACCAGACCCCTCGGTGTGCTCAGGGGACAGTGGTGACTGGAGCAGGGAGACGAGAATCTCCCTGGAACGTACATATCCAGCCCCCGCACCTCCCAACACACACACACACTCTGTTACCTAGGGAATTGTCCCTGACCTGTGCCTTGCGAAAGGAAACAGAGACCTGCAATGTGATAGGTGCTGTCTCAGTCAGGCCTGGTGTGAAATCCTAGCTCCTTTCTGCCTGGGTGAGCTTAGAGGAAAGACTTGTTCTTTCTGAGCCTCTGTTTTCAAACCTGGGTAATGGGACAATCTATGAGACTTTTCCATGAGAATGAAGAAAGATAATATGTCTAATGCATGCCGGGCCCGCAGTAGATGCTCGGTAAGTGTCCCACTTCCTTGGTCCCCACAGATCTCTTTTGAAGTCCAGACCTGTACAAGTTTGGTCGTATTTCCTTATCAGATCCTCATCTGCAGAGGTTATCAGGGTGATTGAGACTTTGGCATATTTTTTAAATTTATGTTTTATGAATAGTTCTACCTGGGCAAGCTAGATGGGCAAAAGGAATGGTTAGTCCCACCAATGCAATACAGCAGACAATAATGTCAGGTAAATGCACAATTAGGCAGTGAGCGGCCTAGACTTGAAGGCAGAAAATACTTTTAGGGAGGAAAAGTGAATGAATCAATCCTTGCTTTTTTCCCCCTGTGCATTCTACTCATGTTCTTGTTGAAATCAAAGATTTTGCTCTTACTATACATTTGTGCTTCTTAATTTTAAAGCTGAATTCCACAGAGGGCAGAGGCTCCCTCAATATCCAAGTATGCTAATTACTAAGCCAGGCATTGGGGTTACTTAAACTGACAAAATTTGGCCCTTAGAAAGAAAATGTAATGCTTTATGAGTTTGCCAACATGTATTCCCTGCTGATGCTAATAGCCTCTCTGTCTCCTGCTTCATATCCTTTCCGAAATAGGTAGAATTAACAACACAAAGTTTATGTGTTCTTGGGAAGGGAAAGTGGAGACAAGCCAGAAGATTTATCATTTATTGAGCACCAACTATGCTTTGAATACTATGCCAAACACTTACATACAATATTATATTGTCCTCATGACAGAAGGGAATATTATCCCTATTTTACAAGTGACAAAGCTGAAGCTCAAAGAGCTACCTACCTTGTCTAGAGCCACACAAAACTGGAATTCAAACACAGGGACTCCCAAACACACCCTCTGGCCCCATCCCCATTTCCAAGGTGCGTGAGTGGGCCGGGGAGTGTACACTTTTCTCAATGAATGCTTCAGCTACATACGCCCCCAACGAGATAGGTAGTTAGGAGTTGTTCTTCTCAATGAAAAAGAAAAACAGCGTTATAGTCACCATCTCACATGTTAATTCCAAGTCGTTTCTGTGCTCAGAGAATGTGAGCTGTCGAGTTCTGAAAGTGCCTTCTCTCTTTATCCCAGCTATCGTGAACCGCGATGGTACCCGCTACACCAAGAAAGGTGAATACAGAACTAACCCCGATGACATCAATGCCAACACTACTGACTACGATTTCAGCAGTGGGTCCCCCAGTGAAAGAAACACTCCAACAGATTACACCATCTTCCACACCCAGCTTCCAACCGAATACCCAACCCAAGGCGGAGACCATCCCTCGGTGCCCAGCTACCCAGAGGATGCCTCTGTTACCAGTAAGGAGAATGGATCACTGTGCTTTCCAATGGCGATTTGTCCGCCGAAACATCTCTATTCGTGAGAGAGAGGCACTCCTATGTCATTTGTCTCCTCTCTCGAGGTTGGTAGCGTCATTTGGGGAGGCGGCCACAGCAGCTGTCCGTGCTGCACAAGCATTGACTGCTGCGGCCAACGATTTCTTTTTTAACCTGCAACTCTGTTTCTCTTACCTCGGCACAGGAAGTGCCATATGAGAAGTTTTTTAGAACTTCCCTTGTTCTCTTGTCCCAGGGGTGTGGTGAACATTCACACCCGGTACTGAAGTTGTTTCCTTCTTTGCACGTTTCCTTCTGGTTCTCATCCACCTCCGGATAACACCGTTTTCATAAGTTGGGGGTCACAGCAGCTGTATACCATTCCATCGGCTCCTTTACGTCTCACTTCACTTTATGTTTTTATATTTTAATCTGGTTTATGCTCATGTTATTGATTGTGTAATGTTCAGTCTTCTTCATCACCCATGACTGACTGAACAGTTCCTTTGTCTTTGGTCCAGGGAAACACAGCTGAAAGAGTTTTCTGATCCAATTAAATCTGCTTAAGAGTTTTCTATTCCAGCCTGTAGGGGAAGGCTCTCAGCCCTTGCTTGGTTTGTGTGGGTCACTCACTACGTTGGCACCTCAAGAGGGGAATTATGTCAACACTGCCTTAAGACTTCTCTGGGTATGGGCCCCTTGCGCTTTGCTTCACTGGAAAGTGTTTACATCTCCCTCTTGTCCCCTTCTTCACTTCCCTCTCTGCTTTCCCTGCCCTGTGGTTTGTTTTAAAACATGTTTCCAGATTGGCTGTGTTCCCGCTGTGGAGGATTATTCAAACTCAAGTAGGGCATCAGCCTCTTGAGCGGCTTTCCTAGTATGGTGTGGGCTTGCTCCTTTCCTGGCTCCGGCTCCGGAGGGGTGGGGCTCTGCTCTCCTGAGTATGGCTGAAATAGACTGGGTTGTGAATGCCCACGACAGGAACCTTTTCTATCCCTCATCACCCAGAAGCCAGGAAAACCTCCAGAGCATGTGCGAGTAAGGTTACTTGCTCGACCATGCCTTAAACTTCTGTTAGCAGCTTGCTCATAGTGGTACAAATAGGTTTGGGGTTCTGGTCATCCTCTGCAGATTCTTGGAAGCATTTTGAAAAGCAGATTCTTTCACATTGCCCATGCTGTCCCGGATTATCAGCTCTCTGGAGCCTACTGTGTGTCCCTTTCATTGTTGGTAATCTTGCGGACAGCCTTTCTGGAGAAAAGCCTCTGCAAACCCAGCCGTCCTGAGTGCTGCTGGCTCCTTGTTACCCTTTGATTTCCCCGCCCTTTGAAAGCAGACCTGTGGAAGGTGCTAGTCATCAGGGCATTCAGTTTTGTCAGATGCCTGCAGACAACAATTCTGGTCTCAGCAGGACTCAAGTCAGGTCTATGTTAAAATACCATTTCCCACCAAGGAAAAAGATCCTGACAAATGCCTCTGCTAACAAGTGAGTATTTCACATGTGCTTTAAGAAAGTCAATTAGCATATTGTCCAGACAATTCATTGCACATCTTTTAAGGGCTGCAATTTTCCTGCCTGTTAGCCAGCAAACACGTTTTGAAGACCTAGTTTGTACTAGGTCTATTCTAATGCTAATAATCCAGTAGTCGACACCATTAGAGAGGGATAATAGGAGAGAGGTAAGGATTAGTAAGCTAGTCATTCGTTCAAGTTCAACTAATATATGAGATCTTCTCAGTGCCAGGTGTTGCTCTCATTCCTGAGGACTCAGAGTTGGCCCTACTTTCATGGAGCTTATACACTGTGCAGAAATGAAGAAAGAATCGTGTTATGGGATTTCACTGCAACCTAGTTCAGGATTTGAGTTGGGAAATGAATCATGCTTTCCTCTTTCCAGGGCACTTAGCTAAGATTTTTTAGTACTTAAGGAAGAGAGAGACTCATTTGTCCAGCAGAGTGGGTCCAAGGCTAATCCGAGAGTTATTGAAGTGCTGTAGGATCCACTTAGGCCAATGGCAGCTCCAGTAAATCAGTGCATGCAATGAGCGTCAAAGAAAACAGTCGGGGGGACACTTGCAAGTAGCACGTGGCCCACCAGGAAAAGTTAGCACTGATAAGATCCTGAATAGACCGTATGTTCTAAGCCCGCTGAGGACAGTCTCTCAACCTCATGACTGCTGGACTGAGAGCTGGAAATGAGTGAGAGGGAGTGATTGCAAGCAGGCGGGCAGAGGTCAAGAGGAGGGCTGGCTGAGTACCTAGAATCTGTCTTTGGCTTGGCTGGCTCATTCCTCCTTTAAGGGTCCTCAGTGGGTGGCAATAAGGAAAACCAACAAGAACAACCATCTGGGTAGGTTTTGATTTCCAGTGAACTTTTTATTGTTTAAGTGTTATTTATGGAAGAGCCCTTCTGGAGACAGGTCATCCACTGCCTTTTGATTGGTGATCTGGGATTCTTTGGAATCCACAAACCTAAACTAATTCACGAAGCAGGCCCCTGCTTGGGAGAACTCTATTTCCTTGTCTTCGGGGTGTCAAAGCAATGTGTGTGTGTGTGTGTGTGTGCGCACGCGCGCATACATGTGTATGTGTGTATGTACACACACACACAAATATACGTCATATATGGCTTACTTGGATGGGGAAAATTGGAAACTCTGCTGCCTAGGCATTAGCTTTTTCCTTTTCCCCAAGTCAGGAATCATGCCAATTTCTATATTGTTCCTGTATATGTACTTGCTGTTGGTCTCTTCCTGCTGTACTATCAGGTGAAGGTAGCATGGCATGTCTGAGAATTTTCTAGGGAATGCACAGGTTTCTTTCAAGGCATCATTGGTGAAAGTGGCTCCTATCTCTCTACTCTTCATTCTGAACAAATGTGTCCTTTGTTGTACAGAATATATTGTGCAGGTGGTTGACACTTTGTGCATATAGCGTCCAAGTTTTTAACCTGGTGTTCATGAACCTCCAGGAGGTTCAATGATAGACCAGAAGGTATACAAGACCACCTGAAATACTATGCAAAATTTTGAGAATGTGTGCATGGAGGATCACTTTTTTTTTTTCAGGAAAGAAGCTATGGCTCATGTCACATTTTCCAAAGGGGGGGGGTGTGACTCAAAATGATTTTTAAAAATCACAAGTGGTTTAGATGTTTATCCTGGTGATCTTTGCCATTTTTTATTCTACAGGAAGACGTTTTGGACTCATTCCAAATTGAGAGTCAAATCAGAGATTTCAAAGTGTAAAAATATTACCAATTACCCTTCCTCTAATTTGAACAGAGTCCAGAATTTCTCTACTAGGAGGGTTGTGTTTCTTTTCTGGAAACACTGTGCATTCTGAATTAGAATGAAGAGTTACAGGAAATGATGGATGGATACTTGAGATCTGATATCACCACGCTGAACACACACCCTTTCCAGAGTTCTTGCTTGACTTACACACAGTATATAGCTTACCTTGTGGTTTACGAGTGTCAGTGGAGCTTTTAAATGTCAGGCGTCATCATGGCTACTGGATGAAATGATAAACCCAAAAGATACAGGCAAGCACCTCTAAAGACACTCTGAAAGAAGATGAATGACAGCAATGTTATGAAATTCTGCATTAAAGACCTTCAGGTCATGGCCGAGTTACCCAATCAAGTGAATATAAAATCTCTTTCCATCACAGGATATTAAGTTGCTACTTGATTTTTCCCTGAGCCTTGATGCAGGGGATTCCATTTGTAGAAGGAGGAGTATTGCCTTGGCACCCATTTCTGGTGTTATCCTAAGATCCCAGGAGACTTCAGGAGAGTGGAAAGATAAAACCAGGTCTCTCTCCTTTCTTTTCTAATCTTTACCCTATGCTAGATCCAGACATTATCTATAGACAGATCTGAGGCTAAAGGTTTTGTAGAAAGATCTCACTAAACGAACATTTTCATAATTGATTCAATTACTTCCACTGTGCGCTCCCACAGCCAGGCAGCAGCTCAGGAGCAAATTGATTGGATATGGTCCTGGTTTGATCATTCACAGCCTAAGACTCAGGATCGAGCAACAGCAATGATGGGTATACTGTTATGTCTTCTGCTTATGTTTTGTCCTGAACACCAAGTCTGTCAGTGCTGAGGAAAAGGACATGAGAAGGCCTTCTGTTATCATTTTCTGCTGATGGTCCATCACGATTGTTGGGAGAACAGGGTTTGATACCATCTCATTTATCATGAGCCCTATGGATCTGGGAGATGCCCAGATACTTCTAAGTGTTCTTCTGGTTTTCCTTTTGGCAACATGCCAAATCATTGGAATTATTTTTTTTCTATAGGGGCTTCTATTAAGAGACTCTTTCAAAACAAGTACTCTAGTAAAAAGTTTTTTAGAAAATGCATATTCCTACTTTCTGCTGATTATTACAGTCACTAATAATAGAGGGAAGTACTGATTTATGGGTGGAAAGTGTAGGCCCTGGACGCTTGTTTGGACATCTAAAACCTCAACTGCAAAGTGTAGGAAGTGACCTGTTGCTCTGCACCAGAATCCAGGCCTCTGAGGACCTCCCTGGATGTTTGACTGTTAGCCCTAAGTTCCTGCCAAGCACGTTGACCTGCTAGCTTTTGTGGAAGAAGATTCAAAATCTGTCATAATGGGAGATTACAAGCATATCTTCATTGATTAACTTTCGTTGATGGAGAATATGGTCATATTTTAAAAATAATAAGGTACGGTATTCTTTCTATGGAAGGAAAGCAATAAAAATGGTTCTTTATATTTGCTTAGCTTGTAAGACATTGAGTAAGCTATATTCTTTATTTTGACAAATGCTCAAGTAAGGAAAACAGTGCCGATGTTATGACTGCGTATCATAGTGACTAAGATAATGCTGGAGGGAGGGATGTGCTAGTTCTAAATGTCTGAAATGTGTATCTTCATAGGACACACATTGTGAAGGGAGCGGTCTCATCAGTGTTTCACCTCGGGTCACTCCTGGGCATTCTTGGTGGCTGAAAAAGGGAATCTAACTCACCTGACTTTTATATTTGGGAATTTAACGATGCCTTCAGTGTCTCTGCTTGAGCTTTTTTTTGTTTTTTCAACTGTTATCTAATATTATTCTGAGGTACTCCGTGGTTGCAGAAATGGCACATCAGGACTCTGTTACTGAGGTCATTGGGTCCCTTCATCTCTGTCTGTCTTTCCTGACTGATTTTCCTCTTTTCAAAAGCTGCAACTCAAAGCACCCTGAGCTGTTTTGCAAAGTACTGATATAAAAAGTGACCATGGGCAAGGTTGCTAGAGCAGTTGGATTCTAAATGGAAAAAAAAAAGCAGAAAGGGATGTTTTCCCCATTGTTCACTTCAGGTGTCATCCTTCTGTGTATCTGGGATTGCTGGGGTTATGTGTTTAGGATTTCTCGCAGAAATATCATGTCCTAACTTCTTAGAGAATGATATTGGTTGGCCAACATAGAAGGGCTAAGGCTCTGAAGAGCAGGGTTGTAGACTCATGGACTCTCAGATTTGGAGAAGATCTTAAAAGGTCTAGTTCAATCAATACTTCCTAATCATTTAATCACTTACACGACTTTCCTCCTAAGTGATCTTTCTGAGGGTGGGACATATAATACTTTATGGAGAAGCTCATTATTGAATAGTTCAGATTATTAACTCTTTTAATTCAACATTTGAAAGAATAGCCATCTCCATAGGTCCCACCGCAGGTCCCAATTTAGACTTTTGGGAGCATGGGCAAAAATTTAGCTCCTCTTTTACATTATCGCCTTTCAAAATGCAAAGACAGCTTTCATGCTCCTCCTGAGACCTCTCTGTTCATTAGCCTCCTGACTTCAGACGGGCCAAGACCTGTGCTATACAGTGCTTTCATCTTTGAGACGAACAGCACGAATCCTGATATTTAAGGTCCTTCCATCTCTGACATTCTATGAACTCCAGCGTGGGCCTCTGAAAGAAATGGAACTTCTGTGCTTTCTCCCTTTCTTCCCACCATATATCAAGTATTGATAACTCTCTCGAGTAGAAAAAAGAATAAAAACATACACAATGCTATTTGTTAGGAACTGATAATTAACAACAATTGATTCAATTATGCTTACAACAGCTTTGATGAGCACTAGTGGTACACTTCCCCAAACAGTAACCAGGAGGCGAGGGGTTCAGGATTAGTTTTCATGGTTGTTTCAGCCATCAGAGTCCAAGGACCATCTTCATACAACAACAGTACTGGCTGGTGATGAGGCACTATCATCTCATTTCATCTGTTTTCCTGACAGTCTTCAGTAGTTCTCACTGACAGAAAGTCCATTCTGGTCTCACAAGTGTTTGTGATGACTTTGGAAGGATCCTGAGCTCTGAGATCCACATGTTTGATTTTATAGCACTGTTCAGCAGGTTTCTTCTTTCTACTCTGTAGAGCTAATGTAGCCCAGGAGGATCCTGATAAGGGGACAGTGAAAATGGGCCAGGTCTTTCTTGATGACAGAACAACATTTTTTTTTGCAGGTGTCCCTAATCTATTTTTTTTAAAGATTTTATTTATTTATTTTTAGAGAGAGAAGGGAGGGAGGGAGAGAGAGAGAGAGAGAGAGAGAGAGAAACATCAATGTGAGGTTGCTGGGGGTTATGCCCTGCAACCCAGGAATGTACCCTGGCTGGGAATCGAACCTGGGACACTTTGGTTCCCAGCCCGCGCTCAATCCACTGAGCTACACCAGCCAGGGAGAACAACATTTTGACTCTGAAAGGTATTCTAAAATGGCCAAAGCCATTTAAAATGTTTGACTTCTCAGGAGAAAATACAATCGCATGGCGAGAGCTAACAAAATATAGAAAATCTCAATCAGTGGAACTATTCTTGGGGTAGGTAATAGCAGTAGGAAAAGACAAATGGTCATTCCCAAAGACAGCTTGAATATGAGTCAAAATGTAGGAAACCCCTTGGCGGTAAAGAGACGTCTTCTACAGGGACCAGGGAGAAGAGGTGGAGGGTTTTTTTCTTTCTTGCAATTGCTTCCGAAAGGAGAAAAATGAGAATTTCTCCAAATCCCAGCTACAGTCCATTTTAGTCAGCCAGAAGGGTGACTAATAAGTGACAGGAATGACTTCTCTGTTAATTGACTTTTTTTCTTTTGCTGTATGCTGAAGTATTGTTGGGAAATGCAGCGTAGGTTTCATTTGCATTTACAGTACAGTGGTCTGATGCTAGAGAAGATAATAAACGAATTAGGAAATTACGAATACAGCTATGACATTTTAGAGATGACTAACATGTGTTTAGATTCCAACTTTTTTTTGGAAGTAGCTTGACAAAGCAAGTAGGCACATGTGAAACTTTTCTACCCTTTGCTGCATGCCCTACCTTTAATGACGTATGCTTAGTAAGTTAATGAATGTATCTAAAAGCATGAGGGAGTGTTTATTGGCCTTCTTTTCTTTTACTTCTTTGGCTGGGTTGTGTCTATAATCATTCTTTAATTTTCTTAAAGAGACTATTTAGTTGTAAAATCATAGCCAATTGTTTTTGGATCTATAGATTAGCTTCAGAAACTAAGATATAAGAATTTGGGATAGGCCCTGGTCGGGTAGCTCAGTTGATTAGAGCATTGTTCCCATACGTGAAGGTTATGGATTCAATCCCTATTCAGGGCACATACAAGAATCAACCAATAAATGCAGCAACAAATCTCTCTCTCTCTCTCTCTCTCTATTTTTCAATAAAAATTAAAAAAAAGAATTTGGGGATATACATATCAAATGTTTCACTTTTTCTTATGATCATGGTAATTCCATCATATACTCTGAGTCTCATTTTCTTCCTTTGTCAAATGGGTACTTGGCATCCAGCTCAGCTACTAATGCAGGTCACCATAACAGGTACGGATTCAAGTATCATCACAGCAGGCTCGGAGCCAATTGAAGAAAATGAAGATGAAACAGACAAAAACCCCAGTCATTCTGGATCAGGCATTGATGATGATGAAGATTTTATCTCCAGTACCAGTAAGAATAATCGATTACAGTAGAGCTATTTATGCAAGGCTTATCAATCTGAGTGATGCCCGATAGTATTTCTCTTGAGAAACAGTTAATGTGAAAAATGAGCATAAGCCTATGATTACACCTAATCTAGTTATACTTTGATTAGATTTTAAAGGAAGAAATAGATTTTTTTAATGGAAGCCAAAACATATTTGGAGAGGAATGGGAAAAACATGCTTTAAAGAATTCTTAATGCCTCATGTTCTCCCTGTGGTCTGCTGCGACAGATTCTCTTTGAACTATTGAACTTTGTCAGAAAATGGCATAGGAAAATTAACTACAAATATTCATTGTGTAGCTCTGGAGCTCTGTAGTTACTGCGCTAGGTGCAGGGAACGCAAAGATGAAAGAAGCCAGAGCTCTTGCCTTCAAAGAGCTCATAGTCTATAACAGCAATGGACTTGAGAATGTGATTGAGAGGATATGAATTAAAAGTAGTACATGATCCTAAATTGAAGACTTAGAAGGCCCTGGTTAAAATTAAGAGAACAAATTCAGAGTTCTAACTAATGGAGCACCAATATAACAAAGGGCAAATATGGAGCAAAGGGCAAATATCAGCTGAGCTTTAACAAAACAGTGCAAATATTAAAAACAAACAGTAAAGCCACTGCACAATAGTATCCAAATTTGTGACAATTGTAAAACTTGTTGAGCACAGAGATGGAAATTGAGCTGAAAAAAAAAATGTCCTTTAAAAATGCAATGGTTGGTCTAATATCCCACCTGATGACTGAGTTTCCTATTCGTACCTGTAATGATCTAAGATATTGCTGAATGATGATGAGAATCCTGAACCCGATTCCATAACAGCTCTGCTTTTCCTTAGGGAAGGTGTCACGTTGGGTTGTCACATGAGCTCTCTTGGGTCACTGAAGTTCTGTCCCTCCTAATCGGAGAGTATCATCCCCAAATGGACAGCACCCAGGGAGGAAGGGATCCAAAAAATAGCTTAGGCCTTGAAGGCATCTAACTATATATATATGGTATTGATAGAATAAAAACTTGAGATGCACTAGGTGCATTGTGTCTAAGCTGTTAAATGGTACGCATTTTAGCCTTGACACCTCAGAGCTTACTCTGTGGAACAAGGAAACTCTTTTTAACAACTTCATGAAGAAGTTGTTAAAAAGCAAATAACAACCAAATAACCAAAATCCTGGAGCTCTGTTATTACACTGGCTCCTGGATTTAGGATATGGCCCCATCTTCCAAGTGAGGCCACCAATAAAGATGTTGTCTGGATACTTGAGAAACTAAAGTCTCCTGGGTGGCAATCCAAACAGATCAACCTGAAAATAAATTGTATGCTCACACTCCAGGAGGAAGCTTCCCTTGGTAATTTTTATTTCTGTGGCATATTTTCCAATTTCAGTTCACTTCTCTGCTTGGCACCTATGCACGTAATGTAGCAGGATGCCCCCTTTCTTCTGTAAGGGCATGAAAACTGCCACTTTGTGCTCATTGTGAATGTGGTCCATGATTCTAAACTTGGTTTTCTTAGCTTGTGAAATAGAGCTGATAGTTGCATAGTTCTGAAATGAGTATTGTATTATTTAGATGTCAAAATGAAGTCTGAAAGAATTGGGATGGATTTCCAAATAACCTTTCCGCAAAAGACATTGATTCTGATTTTGTCATGATCCTTCTGTCGGTTGCATCTCCTCTTCCAGCCCTATCATTTTGGGTGATGGTATGCCTCTCGTTTTTCTTGGGTATCTCCTGTGATGGTGGTTGGTTCCCTATGGTGTTTTCCTATGCATCTTGTTTTTCTCTCGCTGGCCATAAATGGCTTGCTTGTGGAATGCTTTGTACTTGATGGGACTACTATAGGTGTTTGCAGAAATGTATAGGTAAATCATGTGGCTGTTATGGGTAGATATTCTTTCTTAGAATCACCAATAGGAAAGCTCTGGATGTCCAGAGCATTTCTTCCCCCACCAAAACTACTAATGAAATAAAGTGATCATCATGAGGTAACTTTATGTACCTCTCCATCCTGAGGATCAACATGTGGCATACTTGCCAGTGATACAAATTCCCTGGACTTCAAGTGCAAGGGGCCGATACTGACTGCATGGATGGGTGATGCTCTGCCGTCTTTGGTTCTCCTTGGTGGAGGGCTGGTGTTTTCCAAAGTGTTCTTCCTCCTGCTACAACTTCTTTGGCTCCTTCCTCCAGAAGATCTCATGTTCTAACCTCAACGTATTCTGTGACAGAATGCAAAGGACACTGGGATGCTTAACCATATGGCTGAATTGAGCTGAAGGCATTCTCTGCTTTCCTTCGGTCTTCACTCAACCATCTATACAACCTGGTATAGATGACTCACTATATAGACCAAAGAAGGGGAAAAAGTGCAAAACAGGTGGTGAAGGCTGAAGAAATACCATTTTCCTAATAACTTCAATCATCATTATCACAGTTGCAACCACACCACGGGTTTCTAACATCCCAACACAGACCCAGGATTGGAACAAATGGAGCCCAGACTTTTTCACTCCGGATGTATTACTTCAGACAACTCCAAGGATGACTGGTAATGGGATATGCATTCTTAATTAAAGATTTCCTTTCTCAAACTATGATGCTGCAAAGGTCAATGGTTGGGACACATGGGAAATTTGGTTAATATCTCATCACAAGTTCTTAGAACTTTCATGGTGATATTCAGTTCAACTTAGGGGTCATTTATCAATCATACCATCTGGGCACAACATATGTTATGTTGCTCTGTTATAAAATGAGTACATTAAGATGGTTTATGGTGCTGCTCTTGAGAAAGTGGTTATAGGGAATAACAAGTCATCATTAAGAAATTCCTTGTTTTTTTTCTTGGGAGAGATTAGTGAAGTCACTCAAAAATGATGACAGTCGATGCTCTGGCGTTGAGCTGTTAAATATCATGTACTTTAATGGAAAAACAGAACCATCAAAGGTTGGTTGATAAAAAAAGTCACAGTGCATGTAACCATCATCACAACAGATGTGGACAGAAGTGGCACCAGTGAGTATGGCGAAAACTGGACCCAGGAGCCGCAGTCTCCTCTCATTCACCATGAACAACATGATGAAGAGGAGACCCAGCATTCTACAAGCACAAGTAAGAAGGATGGTGGTCAGCAGTTCTGAGTTAGATGAGCTAGTGAAGCCCTTCTAAAGAATAGGGAAGACTATTTTTAGACATGTCTTACATCTTCTTTTTCCACACAGTAATTTCTTTTTTATCCCCAGAGCATGAAAATCTGCTGAATCTGCACACAAGTTTTAGAAATTGGAAGAAAAATGTTGACTTGTCAGGCCCAAAAGGCCAAAATATTTAAAAAGTGAAATTTTTAAAAAGTCCTGAGATGTGTTTTTTGTGTTAAAGATTCCTAGAGGTTCCAGTTGGGTGATTTTTGCGTGTTTATGAAAATGTATAATGAAGAGTTTGCTCTATTGGTGCTTAGGAGTGGCATCTGGAAAGAAAGCTTGACTGGTGCATTGTTCTTTGGAATCCTTCTCTTCTTTTCTTTTTTAAAATCTTCTCCATGGAATCTTTATTTTCTGTGAAGACCTTTGATGAGTCCAGTTTCTTCTTCACATTCTTTTCCTCACTGCGTTACAGAAAGGCATCCCTTATACTCTTGGGAGGAAAGTCAGTAGCTCAGAGAGTCTACATTTGTTTGAATTCTATGGCTAATCTTTTTTTGTTTGTTTGTTTTTAAGCCTACGGTAACTTGAGAAAGTTACCCTACTCATGTACTTATTTCTACTTATGTGCAAACATCTCAGGTTTTCTCAAACATTTCTAAGTCTCACTACTAGATGGTGAGGATAGAAAAAAAATGTAAGAATTATATACTCTTCTTTCATCTATTTCTTGGAGAAATGCCTATCATGTTTGGAATAAAAGAAGCTTTAATTTAGGATAACAGCCTGTGGCATTTTTAAAATTATGCCTCAGCTATCATTCTCATAGCTGTGGATATCTCCAAAGCAAAAATGTAAGAAACATCCACTTAGAATCCAAAGGGAGAAGCCAAAGGGGTTTGATAATTCCTAGTGTGAGGGATGTCTTCAGGAAACAAAAGACACTTCATACATTAGCTGAGACATTAGTGAAGAAGTCCTAGATATTGTACTGAATATATCCAACATGCCTACCTCTCAGTCCTTACCCGGATAGATTTTGCTGCGTGAATGAGGATTATGGACTGAGTTAAGAACAGGGGCTCCTGATAAAAGAGAGAAATGAATAAGAATGGGATTCTGTACCAGTCCTCTTTGTACCGGTTTGTGCTTAAAAACGGAAAGCTAGTTAAGAGGCTTAGAATTAATGAGACTATTGTCAAAAGGTGGTGGTGGGGTAAAGGGCATCATTACTGAAATGCAGTTGAAAAACCAGACATAGCAGAACCTACCCGAGGGGGAGCCCACCAGCCTTAGTAATTCTCTTATCAGCACTTGCAAAACATGAAGAGATTCTGGTTGGTGACCTCTGGGCTTTACCAAAGGAATATTGCAGCACAACAGACATGTCAAAGAGTTATGGGACTATGTCACAGGACTGAAGAAGGCCCTGCAGAAAATTGATAAAACCATTGAGTGTTATACAGAAATGACCCTATTGTTGATTTTAGTACGAAACTTAAATATTAAGTAAAGATGCCATAATTTTATTGGAAAGAATTTTCAAAAATTCAAACATTTAATTTATTATTGGTTTAAGAATTTTCATATAATTCAATAATTGTAAAGAGGCTTATTCTAAAAGAATGTTACACTTTCTAGAAGAGAGGCATATTTTACAGTGGAAATCCTACTATTTGAACCCATATGGTGGAAACAATAAGGGGTTACTGGGTATTTAAAGGATCATATTGTTTGTAAAAATTATGATAGAAAGCATATAAAATAGTGTATATATGTATCATATGTATGCATGCACTTCTTTTCCTTTTTTTAAAACACTGATAGGCAGTTTATGTTTGAGTCAATGTTTTCCTTTTTTGTAATTGCACTCAATGTCTTTTCTAACTTCATTACTTGTCAGAAGGCAGTGATTTAGTCAGTGGAGAGTAAAACTTAAGATTTGGGTTGTTGTTGTGGTTTTTTTTTTTACTCTCATCTGATAATGTTAACCCCAGGAATGTTTTGGCCAATGCTAAGGTAAAGTCAGGACAATAAGTTTTATTTTTAAAATATTTTTGCTACTATGAAATGACACATATTTTCTAAAATAATGAAATACAACCAGTTTTACATGTTGTAAAGTCCACTTCTACTCAGCAAGTTTATGAGCACTCTTTATCTTGAGAATTAAGCATTTGCTACTACTTGTTGCCCTAGATGAAAATGTCAGTGATTTTTTATTTTTGCATGGGTACCCTGATACAATTTTATTCCATTCATTTTGTCCTTTTAAACACTGGACAACTACAACATCGGGTGGTTGAAATTTTAACCCTGTTGCACATTGCTATTGTTTATTATAATGTCAGACACTGGCAAAAATAGTTCTCTTCCAGTGAGTTAATTTTGTTAAAAGATGCATTTGGCGATTTTAGATGCCACATAAGCATACCTTACTCATGTGCTGCTGGAGGAGCCTCCCAGTCATTCCCAACATCCTTCACGCCGGGCACATCTACTTCCAGGGCACTTCAGGGCCTATGACTATGGGTCACGTGACCACCCCTTCAGCAGGCCTCCTACAGCCGAGCTTGTCATCTATTGTTATGTAATATATTCCTTGTAACAAAATCACATGAACAAAGAGGATAATTCTTTGAGCAGTTCTCGAAGACAGGACCTATGAAGTCATAAACTTTAGTAGAATAAGAATAACACCAGGAATTCACAGACTGTGGTGAAGATCTGCCCCTATGACTTGGAGCAAATGAAATCTTTGCACCCTAGTTTTCCCAGCTGAAAAATGAAAGGATTGGGCCATTTGATTTCTAATACCCCTTTCAGAAAATTTGTGGTCTCTCTCTCTTTCCTGCTTTCCTTTTCTGCCTTTTCTCCCACCTGGATGTGCCCTGACAGTAAAAAGATATGTGTGGGTGAGGAAATCGAACAGTAACGGCTGACAATGAAAATTCTTCTCGCAGCTCTGGCAACCCCTAGTAGTGCAATGGAAGACACAGCCACCCAGAGAGAGCAGCGGTTTACAAACAGATGGCCCGGAGAGTATCTCCAAACACCCAGAGAGGACTCTCATTCAACTGCAGGGACAGATGGTAATGGATGGTTTAACAAGCAAACTTGGGTGGCAACTTCCTCGTGGGTTTAATGTTGAACATTGAGGACACTGAACAAAGAAGTTATTGACGGAATTCTCACAAGGTGTTAAGGTTCCTTAGTAAATTAGGATGTGGTCAACACAGAGCCAACCCTTAAATGCTCACAACGGAATCACCTGAACAGGAATGGGTATTAGCACATAAAGGAGACACAATGTGCCCCTGCATGTGTGACTTTCAGGTCCAGTTTGGGGCATTCCCTGGTGACATTGTAGAAGGGTCTCTGCTGTTATAAGATATTCCCTTTTGTTTTATAAAGGAATCTACTCTATGATGTGGGTCCACACTTTACAGATGGTTCTATAAAATACTGAGTGTGTTAGAAAGCATCTGGTCAGAACCCCAATGTTGTAAGAAATGGAGCCAGACATTTTGAGAAAAATACCTGTCTGATATCATTTGGCCCTTAGTCATATTCGTTTGGAGACTTCTCCTTGAACGTAAAAGGTTTTTTTCTTGATTTACAAAAAACACACCTTCTCTGTTCTTGGATCGTGGGATTGTGGAAATTGGACTCAAGTCTTGTCACCATATCTAAGCTCATGTCTCTCTAAGCCAGATGACTTGACTCTGCCAGCTCCTATGCATGATTCTTTTGTCTCTGAGACAGAAACATTGAAATGCACCGTGGCTTGTAAAAGAATGTAAATTCCTTTTAAGAATGATATTTTCATTTAGCATCAGTGAGAAATATCCCCATGTTTCCATTTGCAATATGGAACATAATGCATAATGCCCTTCCAGTGTGTGGCAACTTCTGAATATATTCTTGGCAGAGCAATGGGGTCAATAACTGGCTGTGTGGTGTGGTTGGTTGTTGCTAAGGACTACTGTTGTGACCTTTTTCTACCTATACCTCACTGTTGGCACAGAATGGACCAAAAGCATGTGCTGCATTCTTACATGTCACTTATGCCATAAATCTCACTGTTAGAAGGCAATGCTTCTAATGGATTCCATTCATGCCTTTGAGATGAATGGCATTTACTTTCATGTTTATCTTATGAGAAGCTGTTACCTGATTCCTTCTCTAAATTACTACCATCCTACTCTGCATTTCTCTGGGATGTGGTTATCTCAGAATGATGTCATGTGCTTGGACTCTTATCCTTCCTTCTTTTAGGGATGGTGGCTTGAGGGTCAAGAACTACTCCTTCATCTTTACTTGATGTCTATAACTCATCTTCTATGCACTAGAGAAGTCAGTAATGCCTTTGTGTCCTCCAGTTTGCATTCTGATTGCTAAGAAAATGAGAATGAATGAACTCATACCTACTAAAACATTCTGTGTTTATGCAATTTCCTGGCTTTCGATATCAGGAAAATGTTTTCAATGTCTTGTCTAGATAAAAAAGTATTTTAAAATATCAGTGTATCCCTGGCTGCTTATCAACTAACACTTTAACAATTGCTTGCACTGCATGGTCACAACAGCCTCAGCCCATGACAGCCATCCAAATCAAGAAATGACAACGCCGAGTCAAGAGGACAGTTCCTGGACTTCTTTCTTGGACCCCATCTCACATCCAATGGGACGAGGTCATCAAACAGAAAGCATGGGTAATAGCCTCTGAGCCTTTTCCTTATTATATGTTTTGAAAGCTACCAAATGGCTCTTTTCCTAGAAATATGTCCTGGGTTTTAGACCAGTCTACTTTCTTTCTTTCTTTTTTTTTTTAAAGATTTTTATTTATTTATTTATTTTTAGAGAGGGAAGGGAGGGAGGAAGAAAGAGAGAGAGAAACATCAATGTGCGGTTGCTGGGGGCCATGGCCTGCAACCCAGGCATGTGCCCCAACTGGGAATCAAACCTACAATGCTTTGGTTTGCAGCCCGTGCTCAATCCACTGAGCTACGCCAGCCAGGGGCCAGTCTACTTTCTTAAGAAAGAAATTGAAGTTTCCTCAAAAATTCCTTTTCTTTGTAGAAGTGATATGCTCATTTATCTGAATGTGAGGTCCAGAGCTGACAGTGAAGGATTTGGCAGGAAAGTTAAAGAAGAATTAGTCCTAAAATGATGGGAGTGGAAGTCACTTCCTCTGAAGAAGGAGCAGTATCAAGAGTTCTGTTTCACTTATTCCTAAGTGCAGGGTTTTCACAAAGTTGAGTGATGGGTTCAGTGACTATCTCCAGGGTGGGCCCAAAGATAAAACTTGCCTTTGGTAGAGAAATCTTAGAGGGCAAAACATTGCTCAGTGCTTATTCTGAACAAAGAACTAAAAAGCTCAGAAAACTTTTAATATTTATTCTTGCATTTAGAGATAGATATGGTACCAAGTAACCTAAGATTTAGGCCAGTCTTGGCCCTCCATAAACGTTTGTGAATTTCTTAAGTGGACAACTTTTACAGAGAATGCAATCTCTGTTTTCTTAAATTACATTCTTACCTATAAGCTATTAAAAAGACAGAATTAAGGAAGAGAGAGAGAATAAAAAAGATACTAGTTGTAGTTCTGTAAGAATGGAGCATTGTGGTAAATATATTGTTATATTTTAAAAGAACCCTTGCTTCATCAGCTCAGATGACAACTTTCCTTAGAGAATGTGCAAGAGTTGGTAGCAGGTGATGCCCCTCCTGTCTCGGTCTTTCTTTAAAGTTAAAGAATCCCTGTTTCCTACCATGCCCATGAATAGTCAGTCACTCAAATTTTATTTTGTTATTTAACAAGATGCCTTGGTCTCAGAAATGTAACGTTCCAAAAAAGGAGATAAACTGAAGAACCAATATGGCGGGGATGTGAGTTATCACTCATGACATTGAGTAGTCAGGATCCAAACTGCAAAAGGATGCTGCCATTTGCATAATATGAACATTATTAAAATGATCTCTAAGAGCACAGCGACCCCATCTCTTAGTAGTGAATCTGAACAGTTATCTCCAAAATGAATCCAAACATTTTTATGGTTTAGTATCTTTAGAACCCCATAACTATGTCATTCCCGAATAGTAATGATAAGATATCACCACATATTAGTGATTAGAAACTACATGGCATTAGATATCTGCTCATGGGCAAAGCCTGTGGAGACACAACAATGTATAATTCATGGCCTATGCTCTGAAGGAACTTAAAATTTAACCAAGAAAGGGAAACATTTAGCATCAAAATAGATCCAACAATAGGAGACAGCAAGTAATAGATGCCAGATGCATGTGGCCAACAATAACACCAAAAAAATCCAGAGGACCCTCCAGAGAGTGTCAGAGAAAGGAAGTCAGGGGAAGTTTGTGTAGGAAGAAGACTCATGTAAGGGAGGCTTAAAGGAAGGGGAGCCAAGAAATGAATTTGTTAGAGTGAACAGATCCATTTGTCGGAAAGGAAGACGAATTTGAATGGCTGGGTTGTAGTCATCAGGGTGAGCAGCTGCAGTCACACGCAGACCCGCACGCATTTATGCACGTGGCTGCTGGAGGCTCTGATGATGGGCATTGGAGACAACCACGCCAGTAGAATAACTTCAGAATCAGTATTATCTTCCTGCTGATGAACAGAAAGAGATTCTGTTCAATTGGTGAGCATGTCAAGGACAATAAAATTTTCTCAAACCATAGAATGGTGTGATATCTCATGAAAGATTCTGTTTATAAGAGGCAAGATAAACAAGGGAGTCTAGAGACCCCCAACAGGCACGACTTTTTCTGGGAGAGTATCCAATTTGGGTTTTGATTTGGGCTAGCTAGCCTGTTCTTGTTTTTTAATCGGGGATAATGGAGTCAGCCATGTTTGTTTGTTTGTTTGTTTGTTTGTTTGTTTGCTTGTGACAAAGATCTTGATTGTCTTTTCTTTTTGTATGGGAGGACAACAGTGTAGATGTGGGTGCCCAACATTCCAGTTTTCCCCTCTGGAGTCATCTGGAACTGGTTAAGTCTCTCTTGAGGCAGCGGTGTGGGTGGACTTTGAATCGGAGAGCCAACAATAATGATGGTGTTTATGGGTTGTTTGGCCTTTACTTCACTCAGGACTTGTTATTTCAACAGAATTGACTTGTGATAATTATTTAAAAAAGCATCTGTAAATATGTCAGTGAAATTTCTTGCCACTCAACATTGCACATGTTCATCTCCAAAGACGCTGCACGTTTGTGTTGACAGAGTGACTGACCCACTAACACCCACTGCTGCTTGTTTCTTGTCCCTGAATGCTTCCCGTGGCTTCTGCCTAGGTGGTATTGGGTGATGAGTTTCTGTCTTATTTGCACGTTCACTTTGTGAAGTGGGAGAGGACCAAATGAGGGAAGAAGGCTATCAAAAAAGTATTTTTGCCAAGTAAGGGCGATGTGACAAAATGGTCCCTAAACCAGTGCACTTTTCCCTTCCTCCATGTGGCAGATTCCATAAGAAAGGCAATATGTTCAGAATGGGACAAGTTACACATGGTTTCTATGTGTCTCTGCAAGTTTTGGGAGGCCCATCATGTGTTTGTTTAGAGTCCTTCCAGACTCAGCAAAAATAAACACACTTGTAGCTTTCATACAACTCCAACCCTTCAATGAAAGCCAGTGACTTTCTGCGATGTTCTTTTGGAGAAACCATAATCTATTCCAATTCTGGAGACATGACTAAGTGTGTGCTTTCTTTCCTTTTATCTGGGTTTGAATATAAGAATAATTTAGCTCTAAATCATAAACCACCCTGAAGTGGTGTAGGAAGTCAAACAATAACACTGATTTAATTCCTTCAGATACGGACTCCAGCGATAGTACAACACCTCAGCCTCCTGCAGATCCAGACTCAGGTTTGGTGGAAGACAGGACAGAATCTCTTTCAGTGACGACCCGTAAGGATAATGACACTCAGCCCTTTATACGACCTATGTTTCTGCTTTAGTTCTTGCTCACACTGGCCCTGATTCATAGCTTGGTGGTGGAATGGTGCGTTTACTGCTTTCTGGCTCAGCTCAGCCCAGAGCATAAAAGCTGTCCTCATTTGTATCTTTTCTTGGTGGAGTTCTTTAACTGTGATTTTTCCTTCATTTTTGGTACTTTCCAGATTCAGTGATTTTATGTTAGAAAAAGTTGGGGGCGGGGGTAGACGTGGGGCTCCATTCACCTTGATTTTCCCTCCATGAGTAGTAATGGCAGTGTCATCCAAGCCCATGGTTAGGGCACTGATTTTTCTGTTTTAACGGACCACACCCTTTTGATTCCCATGTCTTCTTCAATCAAGGCAGAAGAGGAGTAGGATTGTTTTACTAGTTGTTTGTGCAAAGACAATTTGGGGATGGATAATGATAGAAAATAGGGAAATCACATCAGCCCATAGAAGAAGGACAAGGCATGCTGTTGACAGTTGACAAAGGCAGCAGGGCCTGGGGACAAAAGGAGAACATTTGCTGATGCCTCTTCTTATCACTAAACATCTGGTAGAAGCAATGCTAAGCTTCTAGTAGCCTTAATTTCCATTGTATGTACAAGGCTAGCCTAGACATCAGCCTAAAGTCATTCATAATCTCTTGACAGTCTGCAAAAGAAATCCAGAATTAAGAGGCCTCATTTCACTGCCTGCTGCACATAATGGACAGGGCTCTTTATGTGAGTCCTTTTAGGCAAAGGAAAAAGTCAGCAAGCATGTGTCGATTGTCCAACATGTAAATAGCACAGGGTTAAGCATTAGAGGAGACACAAATAAGCCAAAATGGTCTCCGCCAATGGAGGGTCTTGTATTTCCACTTTATGTCCCTGTTGACTTTTGTTCCAATGTTGGGTTGGGGTTTGGTGAGTGTCTGTCTCCTGGCTGTCACGTTTCCTTAGTGGTGGACGTGGCTATGGGTGTGCTTTATGGAGTGCTTGCACCTGTAACTCAGAGGTCCGTACTTTTCCTAGAAGAACACAAGGGAAATGAACTCAAAACAGTCAAAGCAAATTCAGAGGTGGGCAGTGCCTCAACCTCTGACTGCAGATACTACAGTGAGGCCCCGTGTTTGCCCAGGCCAGCATTTCCTGGCATCTCAACATGGCAATGAGAACCCTCATGCACAGATGAGACCAAAAACCTAATAATAGAGCAAAACAGTAACTTTAATTTAATGTTCTTTAGGAGGGACTAAAGTATTTCCTTTTGTAAATTGGATCTCAGTGACTTGAGCAAGTTATTCTACATGAACTTCTTCCTCTCTGGTGGTTACCGGCATACCGTGCTGTCATGCCGATTATTTTCCCAACAGTCACACTTCTTGACACACACCGAGGTGCTCTGGATTGTCGATAGGAGCCCTAGGGGTTGAGCATTTCTTTTTCTTTGTCTCTATGTCCTCTGGTTTTCCTCAGTGACTGGTAGCAGTGTTATTGTACAATTGGGTCAGGGTGATCCAGGGTAGACCAAGTTTTGCCTCAGGCTTTATATTGGCACCCTATCTTTGTTGATGATACTGAAAACAACAACAACAACAACAAAGGGTCTTAGGAGCCAACTAGGGACAAAACAGAACTCTGTCGTACATTTTCATCAATTGGAGGAGAATGGCATGCACAAACCTTGGGATTCTTGTGCCTCCATCTGTCTGACTCTGTTGGGCTAGATCCCGCCCGCCAGCAGATAATAGAATTTGTTTCAGGGCTCCACACTAACGCTGGATTCATCCCTCCTTGAAACAGAGCAGAGTCACACTCAGAGCTTCTCTACATCACATGGAGGCTTGGAAGAAGATAAAGAGCAGCCTGTGACTCCTACTGCAACACCTAGCAGTAAGGATGGTAAAGCCCGCCTGGCTTCCGCTGTGGGTGTCTGCGCGGTGCTGTTGGTGGAGGTGCATCCGTTGACTGTTGTTAATGCTGTTACTTCTGATGAGGTGTGCTGGTGATGGGTTTCTGAGTTCTCTGCTTTGTAGACTTTTTAGAAGCCATTGTACATTAAATGCAACTATATTTCTTAATCTTAAAGGTCAGGTTTCTTAAATTCTAGAGTTAGATTGCTTATTTATGATTTATAACTGGCTTATATTGCTCTCTATTTTCCTCTCATTAAGTAATATTATTTTGCCATTTATACTCTGGACCATAAATTGATGGTGCTGGTGAGTACGAGGCAGAGCCCTCTGGGAAAACAAAATGATAACACCCCAGCTCTTTAAAGAATTGCATTGGTTGTTCCAATCCCAGACAGCATAATTTTACCTTTTAATTCAATCATATGTTTCCTCCACTTCATCAAAGGTGGGTCTAATTGAGTAAGAGCTCAAGATTATCATTGTCATAGTTGTAGCGGCGTAAAACTTACCTTAATAACTGAGGCAGATATTACAACAAATGTCTGGGTATTAGAATCACCAGAATCTCTTCCATTGAGTGAGTCCAGGTGGTGTCAATTGCAAAATATAGATTCTGAGCAAGAGTGTAACAAATCACACTCTCTTTTGCTCTTTGCTCATACATAACAAGTGGAAAACTTTCGCAGCAATTGCACATTCTTAAGACACGCATGCGATGAGTGGCGGTCTTATTGTACAGTTGTGGGTTTACCATTGATTCCACATTACACAGCTAGGGATGATGGCAAAGATGGAAGAACAGTTGGAAATCTTCCTGAAGACTCAACTACCTCAGCGGAAGGTGTTCCTCCTCATTCCCCAGACACAAAGGAGCACACAACTCTCCTCCCAGTGACCCCTGCTAACACGGGGGCCCCTGCAGGTACTGAAGTTACTACTGTTGGAGACTCTAACGTTCATGTTGATCTTTCCTTATCAGGTAATCAGACTATTTGCTATCTGGTTTGCTTTCTCTATGTCGAAAACAACACATACTTTCATGTTACAGGGGTCATTTTCTGTGCAGGCTGTGATTGGACTGATCAGTGACATGGAACGACTTTTGTCATGTTATCATTCTAGTGCAGGCGAACTTAGGTTTAGTTTAGATAAAGAATGCTTTCATTTGCCAGTGTAATTTCCATTTATTTTTGTGACTTGGTTGTTATGGTAGAATTTCTTTCTTTGCCTTGTTACTGATCTTGGGATGTATTAAGCTGATCTATGTGAAATTGATGTCTTAGTAGGTCAGAGAAGTTAAATATTAGCTATTTGATTCAGCTAATAGCATGCTGCCTGTTTGTTAAGGTTTTACCCACCATGTGAACAATTTCCACATACTAATACCTTTTCTATGAAGTCATTTCCTCCTGTTGGTGATGGATTGGTGAATTTTACTTTTGGTGGAGGGCTTGTGGATAAACCTCTCCTAGTTGTGACGCACTGTTAAAACTTTATGACACAATCTATTATTAATGAATAGGCGCCATTTCTCTTGTGGTAATGGCAAAGAGGGGGCTGAAAATGACTTCAGCTGGACCTGGACCTAGAATGAGACTTATTTTTTCAAGTAAACAGTTCTCCCTCCTTTTGCTTTTCTTTGTTTCTCCTTTTGCATTAAAAAACTAACATTGTAGAAAATGGAACTAGAAGATACCTACTCTGGCTAAGAAGCTGAAATCATACTCTCTCTTCCTGGTGCCAATTATTCAAGTACCTCTCACCACTCAACCACTGAGACCTGTTAAAGATCAGTGATTCTAAATGGAGAGTAGTCCCCTCCTTTCATGTGTGGTATTGCTCTCCACCATTTCAGTTACCCGTGGTCAGCTGTGGTCTGAAAATATTACATGGAAAATTCCAGAAATAAACAATTTATAAATTTTAATTTGTATCCTATTCATAGTAGCGTGATGAAATCTCATGCTGTTCTGCTCTGTCCCCACCAAGGATGTGAATCATCCCTTGTTCAGCGCGCCCGCACTATTTATGCTGCCCACCCCTTGGTCACTTCATAGCCATCTCGGTTCCCAGTTTGACTGTCGTGAGATCGCAGTGCTTGTGCTCAAGTAGTTCTTATTCTGCTCACTCATGCCACATTCACATAACTTTTATTATAGTGTATTGCTGTAATTGTTCTATTTTATGATTAGGTACTGCTGTTAATTTCTTACCATGCCTAATTTATAAATTAAACTTTATCATAGATTTGCATGTATAGGAAAAGAATGATACATATGCTACCAACAAAAAAATTATAGCATTCCCTCCTTATCCCCTGGGGATATGTCCCAAGACCCCCCGTGGATGTGTGAAAACTGCAGATAACACTGAACCCTATATGTGCCAAGTTCTTCCCCCGCCCAAAGAAGAATAAATCTGATGAGAACTCAGTACACAAAAGAGATGACAGCTGCGATGCTCTCACTGATGTGGAGACAGAACTCCCAGAATGCCGCGTGTATGCCCATCCCAGGCTTCAGGGAAAACAGTCCTAGAAAATTCTGCCCTTGGCAATGTTGGCCAGACAGAACCCATCACACCCTTTGGTTCTTTATTCAGAGTGGTTCTGCCCTTGGAATTATTAAAAATTCCAAGTGTCATTGTCAGTATTCTTCTGTAGAGATGACTCTTAGGGCACTGCTTAATTCCTCTTGGCAAAAATAAAGCCTGTCATTACAAACCAATGAATTAAAGTTTAAATGGCAATTTTAATAGTTTCGGTAGTCTAGAAGGATCACATAGACTATCTGTTAGTAAAGAAGATACTTTTTCCAACATTGATACCCACATACTCTCATTTCTTCTACATTCTCTCCAGTACCAACTGATTTTCCATGGTTCCCCATGGATTACATGCTCAGTAAGTGATCCGACTCTCATTTTTGGTTTTCTTCCAAAACATTCAGATAACTGCTCATTTCTTCCAAAACATTTTTCTTGGTCTTTTTACTTAATCTTAAAAATTTAAAACACTTGGAATTGTGGTGGTGGTGGTGATGGTGATGGTGATGGTGATGGTAGTAGTGATAGTGGTGGTGGTGGTGATGCCAATGGTGGTATGGGGGTATTGGTGCTGGCATTTCAGCAATGCTGTTTTTCATTATTCTAACCATCAGCCAAGGAACAAAGCAATCTATCTCCTCTATGTAATTACATGCCACCTACGTCCACCTTACAGGAAATAGTGGTAATCAGACTATGGTATATTCCTTATAGGTACCTTTATAATGGGTGAGTAGAGCCATTTATGAAACCATTATCTTGTTTTGTGTTGTTTTAAGATTCAAGTATAGTTTTGAAAAACGTGTGGGGATGAGGGAGAAAACCAAGAGTTTCCATGTGCTAAATCCAAGGTCTGACATGTGGATCCAGAGTTCGGCAGTTCATGAAGTCACAATTTAAAGCCTGTCCGTGATGGATGTTTGAGAAGACGGATTATATTAACTCTTGGTGTTAAAAATGCAGATTTAATTTTTGAAAAATATTTCTATTTGAAACATATTCTGATTAGTCACATGTTAGCTATCATTTCTCCATTTCTTTTTCACTTATTTTTAGACTTTTTAAAAAATCAGCAGTTGACTTTTCTCTTTGAATCTTTACATAATTCAACCCCAAGATCCTTCATTGCCCACCAAAACCTTTTTCTGTTCCTTGCCTCAGAGAACTCTCTTTCGATGTCTCATGCCCTCGGCCACAGAGCACACCCATTCCCAGTGATCACACGTGTCCTAATTCAAAGCCTATGGTCTCTATTTCAAAGACACAGTATCAAACCCCAACCTCAGACCTGTGAAGGCATCATGATATTTCTGTTTGCATGTTACAGTTGTGAGGTTTCTATCAAAGCCATACTTCCTGTGGTCATCCTTGATGGTCTGTACTGAACTAATCTCCTTAATTTTGATGAAAACTCTAGTGCACTCATCAGCAGAGTAAGAAATGAAGTAATTAATATTGTGAACCCATTCAAGGCTTCTTTGCCATCATTTTGCTTCCCTTTAAAAGACTGAGCTTTGGGATGAACGCAAAGTGCATGCAACTGCAAACGTGAGGAAATGCAGGTGGCAGTGCAACTGGAACACACAGCACTGAACCTTCTCTGATTGCTCCTTACAGGAGATCAAGACTCAACTCTTGACTCTGCCGGGAGGCACCATACCACTCACGGATCCAGACCAGACGGTGAGTTTGAGCTGCTTTAGTCATTGACTGTCAGCATCATTGCACCTGCTGATAGTTAGTGAAGTAGGAGCCAGTGTCCCTGGAAAAGGGGTTCTCACACTTCTTTAGCATGCATCGCAATCATGGGGAGGGCTCATGAAATTACACTGCTGTGCCCGTCCTTCAAGTTTCTGATTCTGCATGTCTGGGGTGGAGCCTGAGCACTTTTAGTGCTTTTAGTAAGCCCCGTAGTGATGCTGATAATGCTAAAGCAAGGACTGTACTCTCGGCACTACCGCTTTGGAGAGAATTCTTCCATTTGAAAGGATCAGGGAGAATCCAAGCAGGGTCTCAATCCAACATTGGACTACACCAGAGTGATTAAAAACGTGTGTTTTGGAATAAGAATGGCTTGGTTTGATCCCAGCTCCTCCTCATACAAACTGGGGATGTTGCTTAAAGGATCTGAGACTCAATTTCCTAATCAATAACATTTGGATAGTAATTATCATAGTGTATTAGGTTGGACCATATTAAACAGTCGATCAACAGTCAAATATGAAGTTAAATATATTTCATATGTTTCACCTAGAGTTAACTCATTTAATCATCCTTCATACCCTGCAACCTACATAAGCACTGTTATTATCCCAATATTACAGAGGACACTAAGGCTCAGAGACACTGAGCAACTTAGCTGAGTTGACATGACTAGTGAGGTGAGTGGTGGAGTCCCATTTCAAATCCAAAGGTTTCATATGACCTCTCATAAGCACAGTCTGGAGGAAGCACTCTGTAATGACCGTAATTACCACTAGGCATGCATTATTAATGGATTCCTATTTGCTCTGACTCACGTGTCGTGCCTGGAAACGTTACTCCAGGCAGCAAAAGTCTGACATGAAGCAGGTTTACTTGTGACCACGAACGCTGGGGCTGTGCTCGTGCTGTCATACCCAGGTGTCCCTGACCATCATCAGTCCAGGTGGCCCCATGCAAGCCAGGTCTTCCTTATGAACTATTGTCCTCCCCTTCATGCTTCCATTGCAAGCGGGGTTGCCTCCAGACTGAAACGTTCACACTCTTAAAGCAAAAGAAAGGTGGATACTTAGATGGTAGTTTTGGTGATAACCACTTACATAAGAGGCCAGGGATGTGGGGGCTCATTGGAAATGCTTCTAAAATAAGAACAGAAGTCCCAGCCTCTCTGGGGACCCGGGTGGGGCGTTGAGCCTTTCCCAACCTCCAGTTCTTCACTTGAAACAAGGGATCAGAACCCTGGCCTCAGTTACCTCCTAGAGTTCTTGTGAAAAACATGAGGAGGTGGCAGGAATTTGAAAGGATTTTGGAAATGATAGGGAATTGTTACTAAAAGGCAATGCTCTGTAAAATCAAGAGACCCCAGCTACTCCAAGGGTGTAGCAGAGGCATCACCGAGGAGCTGATTGGAAATGCAGAATCCTCAGCCATCCTAGACCTCCCGAATCACAATCCTCCCTGCCCCACTAGGCAGCTTGTATAGGTTAAGGCTTGAGAAGCATGATCCTAGACTGCTTTTGTCATAGTTTAAAGCCTGTCGAATTATTTCCACGTACACGCCTCAGATTGGATCTCATCTCCAAACTGCAGTATTGAGTGTTCCCCTTCGCAGAACTTGCTTTCCCCGCCAGCCCTTCCCGAGCTAAATTTGCAGGCCTCTGAGGGTGCAAGGCAAGACCTGCTGTATCTCTTCCATCTCCTCGGCTTTTGCTTGAAGTGAGAACCAAGTGGGTGGGAGCAGTCTCTTTTGTTTGACTCCTGTGCAGGTGTCTGTTGTTCAAACAGGAGGTTTCATCTGGCTGTACACACGCCCAGATCTTTCCTTGCTGTGAGCACTTTTGGTGGAAAGTAGAAATAAAGAAATTATGATCCACTAATGGCCTCCCTTTCAAATATCAAAGGCTGCTGTGAGTCAGGGAAAGACCAGTGAGAGCGACTGCAGATCTGAGGGGGTTTGGAAGGCCAAAGAGCTCCAGTTTAAATGGCTAGTATCCCATGACCAGGGCAGGTGACCACCTGCCCACCATCAAGGACCCTGGCCGGCAGCTAGAGAAAGCGTCCTGGACTTCTTCTGAGGTCTGGAAAGGGAGAGGCGCTGTCAAACTGGCATGGGGTATGTTGGAATGGCCAGACGTATGGTAACACTTGAGTTTAACAGGAATGTCAAATTGCTTAACGAAGAGCCACCCTACCCAAAATAACCACCCTGATCAGGACTCCAGTGTCTTCTGTGCCCAGCTGGAAGGTTGGCTGTCTTCGGAACGCATTTCCTGGGAGGCCCAGTCACCTCCCTGCACGGGCTGTCCCCCAAGCAGACACCCCTGTTCTGTTTTGTTTTCCTCCCTTGCAGACCGGCAGGATTCTGCCATGGGGTTCCTTTTAGTAGGGAAAATAGAGTTCATTTTGGTGGGATCTTTTCCATTTTTGTTGTGAAGCAATAAGGGAAGCATAAAAAAAAACACAAAGAAAACACAGAGCTTTCATTTGGGTGAGTCTCTTCACCAGCCTCCTGTTCTGACTTGTGGATTCTTTGTGTTGTAATGCTTCCTTTCAGTCGGAAATTTTTTTTGTTTGTTTCCTTATTTTGTTTTGTAGCAGAGGAAAACGTTCATTCTTCAAAAACAAAGCACGGTTCGATAATATATCAGCAGGTTTCAACAGTAGATCAGTCTGATCGAACCAAACTTTTCTGAGATCGCTTTCTTGGAGCACTTTATAAATGCCTGTGGCTTGAATGTATAAGTAGCTTTGCAGTGATACGGAGGCTGGCCCCATGCGCCACTCTGTAAGCCTGGTTATACGTGAGTTTTTCATAGATAGAAAGGACCATGGCCCCCCAAACTCTTATTTTATAATATTTATGTTCACTTCTATGATGACATGTGATTTTAAGATTTGCTTTGGCCTTTCTGGAGCATGTGAATCCCTTAGGGATCTTGCTAAAATGAAGATTCTGGTTCGGTAGGTCTGGGGTGGGGCCTGAGATTCTGTGTCCCCAGCATTCTCCCACGTGATGCCCATGCTGCTGGCCCGGGGACCCCGCTTTGAGTAGCAAGGTCTGAAATTAAAAATAGAAAATAACTACACACGATTATCAGTCTCGTGTACCCCTTCAAGCCTCTGTAGAATTATGATAAAGTGGATTCTAGCATCACCCCAATTAAGAGTAAGAGTAAGAGACTTGGAGAGGGTCACTTGAGCCAGCACAGGTTACTAGCGAGTAGCAGAAGCAGGACTTGAATCCAGGGTGGTCCTGCCCTGGAGCCCAAGGGCTTAAACATTTAACAACAGTGCTGCTCTGAAGTCTCACATTCTTGATGAAAAAATAACATTTTCAAACCTTAGCCTGAATCAAACTGCAGTTTTCTGGGGAAATCTCTTTCCTGTGGCACCTTATCAATGTCTGTGGCTTGGATGTGTAAGTAGCTTCTCAGGACGCAGTGGCTGGCCCCGTGGGCTGCTCTGTAAGCCTGGTTCTACGTCCCAAACTTTGTCTGAGAGATGTTTTTCTCCTTAGGACACTCCAGTGGCAGCCAAGGAGGTGAGGCCAACACGACCTCTGGTCCTATCAGGAAACCTCAAATTCCAGGTGAGTTTCGAGCTTTGGGAGGAAAATGATGCTAAAACGCAGGTCTCTCTGAATGTCCCAGAAAGGAAGAAGCAACCAGTTTGAAAGCACAGCTTCCTAAATGTCCAGCCCTTGAAACTGATTGACCCTCTTTGCAAGCTAAAGATGAATACGAGCAAAAGAGAAGAAAAGATAAAACGTTTTTGCGCAGGATCCATAGATTGGCCGAGCTCATATTCACACTTGTCCCTGGTCTGTCCCAGAGCAGTGCCATGTTCGTTCCTAAAGCTTCCTCCTCAAAGGAGTGATCACCCAGGCAACTCCAGGTCACAGCCGGGTCCCTCCCGTCCCAATTCAGTTGCCCCTTCATGTCTGGGGTTGGGGAAGACATGCACCAAACTCCCCTGACATTGCAGACAGTGTACTGAGTGGAGTGAAAACAGTCTTCTGGACCCCAAGCTACTTTTTCCTCAAAGGACAGTCCTCACTGATCCAGACAGGGGACAGTTTCAGAATATGTTACATGTGCAGTGAGGGGACTGAGACAGCTGGCTCTCTTGAGTGTCGAGATTTCAGTCTCTTGAAGCAACCGCTTTATTTGACTTGGGTTCAAAGTTGAGCATTTGTAAAAAGAGGATTACAAAAGAGGAAGGGTTTTCCTAGGGTTGCAAATTATCCTTTTAACTCCCCACCCTTCTGAGGTCTCCAAACTGAGCCTTCCATGGGGAAAGGGAGGGATGTGGCATGTGCCTGCCCCTGCCTCAGCCGGCCCGGGCACCGCTGGAGGCAGAGCACACGGAGAGGGGGCGGGCTGCCCAGAGGACGGGGTGGGTGTGATGCAGGATTCTCTCCAACCTGGGTGAGTGGGAATGCGGGGCGTCTCTGAGCTAGAGACGCAGGACCGAACAGAAACGGTTCTCTTCTGTTGGCTTCCCCACCTCCTGACTCACATAACCAGGTAGAGGTTAGGCAGAGGCGGCACTGAGCAGGAAACCAGAGGAGAGCCAGGACCCCCAAAGATGAATGGATGGTGAATGACTGTCCATCTTCCCTGTTTCCCAAGCTCAGTTCATCGCACAGATACATGGCCCACTTGGCAACTGAATTTATTCAGGGTGTCAGGTCATATCGTAATACATTAAAGCTTGATTTAAAAACACGTATATGGCATTTTGTTAGTCCATGAGTGATGCATTAATTATTGCAGACATTTTAGAAAATGCAGCTTAAAAAAGGACAAAAATATAAATCACTTATTATCTACCTCACCATCCAGAAATACCGTGGTTACCATTTTCATATATGTCCTTCCTGTCATTTTTCAATGTAATTTATATACAAAAATGTAATTATACCATACATGCTATCTAGTAAACTACCATTCTTGACTGGCTGGCCATAGCTCTCCAATGTCATTAAATATTAGTACATATTTAGTACATAATACAAGGAAAGTACTCTAATTTATTCCATCTAGTTTGTTCCTTATTGCTGGATATGAAGTTGTTTTCACCTTTTTCTATAAATAGCTCAGTGATAAACATCTCCATAGCTAAGTCTAAGGCCCTATAATTTCCTGGAGGTGTAACTGCTCTACCAAAAGCGTGTGCACTTTGAAGGCTTGTGACGAGTTTTGCCAAATGACTCCCCAGTGGACGTGCGCAAGTTCAAACACCCACAGGGGTGTCCTCCTTCCCGCTCACTAGTGCGTGGCCTCCATTTTTAGGTGGATGCTCTTAGGTAGGAAAGGAATCTTCCTTTCAGGGGAAGAATACATTTCTTTCAGTTTACTTAACAATTTACACCAAGGGCATCTGCAAGTCTCAACAGGTCATTCTACATATTTTTAGAAACATGTTCTCTTGGAGAGACTTGGAAATTCCGACTGGTGGTGAGAGATTAAAACAAGAGGCCAGCTGGACAAACACCTATAGAAAAACTGCTTTTTTCCAGTATTAGTTGCCTATTGGCTGGGCCATTTGGTCTGACTCATCTGTAGTGCCGACTGTGGTTCTTGTTTGGACCAGGCCGGTTTTGTGAAGCGTGTGTTTGTTTTCACAAAACGTATTTCCCAATTTCATGGGTGTCTTCTCCTTTGCTCGCACCAGAATGGCTGATCATCTTGGCTTCCCTCTTGGCCCTGGCTTTGATTCTTGCAGTTTGCATCGCTGTCAACAGCCGAAGAAGGTAAGGGAATGCTCCTCGGGGACTTTGATTCTGGAAGGGTGTCACTTAAACTTAGGCTCTATGTCCTTGCTGCTCAGGGGAACCAGCAGCTTCAGCACCCTGGGGGCTTGTTAGAAATGGAGAACTTCAGGCCCCACCCAGACCTCCTGTATCAGAATGCGTTTGGACCAGGTCTCAGAGATTCATGGACCTGGTAGAGTTTAAGAAGCCCTGCTCTGGCACATTTGGAAAAGAGACACTGTAATTACCTGGACCACCGCTTTTGAACAATGGTTGAATCTCTTGGGGATCTCCATTATTTGGGGGTTAAAGCCCACCCAAACTTTATCTGATGAATTATGAACTCTCTCACCAGAAAGGCATAAAAGTATATACTCATTCATTGACTTATTAAACATATATTTGTTAAGTGCATTCACAGTACACAAAAATACCATATAAAGATCCAGGGATTGGTCATCTCTTGTCTGAGGCCCATGGAACTTTCTAGAACCCTTACCTAAAACAGGCATTGAGTTTGTGTGTTTGTTTTGGTTTTTGCTTATTTGTTTGCCTTCTGTAAGGACACTATTTTCTGTTCCCTGGAAGCAGCAGTTGAAAGGATGGTCCCCCTCCCTCCCTCCCCCAGCCAAGGCCTATTGTTCCGGAAGTTATTTAAACAACACACACACCTGGCTGAGCTGTGACCAGGCTCCAGAAATAACGCCATGTGAAGTGAAGTAAAGAAAAATTCTAGCAACAGAGAAAATGCACTTTGACCGGGGCACTCCACAAATACTGGTCTAAATCTCTTGCTTAAGATGCTTTCAAGAGGCGTTATTTTTCCCTGAGCACATGCTTAGGAACATTAAACCTTTTGTGAGTGTCTCTTGAGGTTTCTCATAAAAGGTAAAAAATCTTATTTCCAAGTGAGGTCACCTTCATAGTGTCACTAGGTCATCTAACAGGCTAGAAAATCCTACTAGCCTTGGGAGAAGAGAATGACAGAATCTTTCTCACTGGCTTTTGGAAAATAACAAATGCCCAGTTCCATTGCTGTGTGCAGCCCAGGCAGTATTGCTAATTATCCGAAGAAACGAAATAAGCCTGTCTTACCCAGGTACAAGTTAATAAAAGTGCTCTATTACAGCCGAACAGCTGTGTTGCTATCTGTGTGTTTGAGGGTATAATAAAAATAATTAGTCATGGCAGCTGATTGTATAAGGAACAAAAACTAGGAAAGGCAGTCTTAAAGCCCCTTTTAGTCATCTTCTATGACTAAATGGAAAGATATTTTTTTAAAGTTGAATTTAAATAATGTGACTTAAGGGACCCCTTCGAAAGAATCTTTATACTGGCCTTTGGCTTCCTTATTTTCTCTTAGGTTACTTTTGCTCCATTAAATATGAATTTCCAATTGTTGGGAATCAGTCCTTTCGTCCCAGGCCCTAGAAAGTGTTGCCCCTGCTCACACACACAGTCCATGAGTTCTGCATGTGTCACCACAGAAACAGTGGCCCTTGATGTTGTCGGCATGCGGGGAACCTCAGAGAACCATCACAACTGTGCCCCAGGGCAGCTGGGGTCCGTACAGTGTGACTGCTTAGCTCACGTGTCACTGCCCATGACGTCAGGAGTGAAAACAGGCCCCGTTACTGCCCTCCCCCTCCCCTGAGACCAGCAGTCACCCTAGCAACAGGCAAACAGGGACTTGTGGGATCCAGCACAGGGAGTATCTCACCAGGAAAGGAGCTGCTTGGATGCCATAAAACGTCCTGATCTCATCACCACAAACAGACTTGCCAGGCAGCTAAAAGATGGTTCTGGCTTCACGGGCCCCTTCGGTGCACTTGGGTCACTCAAGCCGCCAGCCTTTTTCTAATCCTCTTAAGGGCCGGGCCTTACTGCTTTGAGCACTGCGAGTTAGAGAGATACAGAATCCTGTGTTCATCAAAGGAAGTCTGGTTAAAACCAGGGACCTACAACAGGCCTGTGTTTATTTGGGAAACATCTTCTGAGGGGCAGCTGTAACTGTCAGCCCTGAGTAAGAGAAAGAGAAGATTCAAAACAAAAAGAATACCATCCTTTCCCTAAAAGAGCCTTTAGGTTTCGTGGCAGTATTGGCCTCTTGGATTTGGGTCCTCTCATATTCATTGAGCGCATACTCTGTGCCAAGTACTGTTAAATGAATTATGGTTAAAAGGTAAAAGTAAAAAAACATTAGTCACTGAAGGTGACGTTCCAGGGCTGAGCACAGGTTCCCATGACAATGTCATCTGTGAGTGGCGTCACTTTAAAGGTGCTGACTTCGAGGTCCTGTTATTTCCTTAGCTTTTCCCAGCCCTCTCATAACCCATATCACCTTCTCTTGCTGTTCTTCATGTAACCAGAGTCCTTGAATGGCAACTTGCCAATGAAAAGTGTACTTTATTCATTGTCTTTAAGAGCAAACAATGGTTTTAGGAGTCCGTTGGATTGGTAGATAGATATTCCGTGAGGCCCAAGAGAAGAAGTTAAGTGCCTTTTCCTTCAAGAATTTATCTGATTTGTATGGAGAAGGGGAAAAAATGGGAGGGCCTGACCAGAAAAGGCTTCACAAAGCGAGAATGCTTCCGGAATGTTTCTATACCGCTTGTGCAGAAAGGCCTCTGTCGGATTTCCCTCTCATGGAAATAAGCGTCTGTTCTGTAAGCCCCAGTGGGGAGTCACCCACCCTCTACTCGGCAGGCCCCCTTTCTGACGTTCCATGATTTGGAATGTCTGCCTTCCCTTGAGCTGCAGTCTAGGCCTCCGTAGTCTGTGCCCGCCCAGCCTCCTTCCGCCCTCGAGAGCAGAGCTGTCCGACAGAACTTTCCGCAGTGGCAGAGAGGTTCTACACCTGTCCTTCCTGTCCCACACACAGCCATGAATCACGGGTGGCTACCGAGCACTCCAGATGTGGCTAGTTCAACTTCAGTGAATTTTAAATATTATTTTATTTTCATTATTTTAAATTTAAATAGCCATGTGTGGCTAGTGGTGACCATATTGAATGACCTGGCGCTAGCACAAAGCAAAATAAATCTCTAAATATCTGTAAGGGTCTCCAGGTAGAAGAGACATAAGAGTGGTTGTTAAGTTACCCACCCTCACTCCCTAAGTCTTTCCAGAGAAATTCCTTCATTCTCTAAATGTATGTTACCTGGTTTCTAAACCCCACGGAGCCTGCCCACCCTCTCCTGGCGAGGCTCCAGCCTGGGTCCATCCACGTCTTGTGGTCACCATGCTCGGCTAATGCCTGAAATTTAAAGGGAAAGGATATAAAGGCAAGATGCAGTTCGGTGGAGATGTCTGGCCTTCGGACTCAGAATCTAAGTTGCACGATACCGACCCTGCCCTCGCTAGTGGTGCGGCCTCAGACAGCAGCCTGGACTTCTGGGACTCAGTCTCCAGTCCACATAAGGAAAAGGTTGGGCTAAATGACATTTGAAGTCCCTTCAGTGCTAATAATGTTACTTTTTAACAAGTCAGTTCCTCTAACTCAGAAGGGTGAAAAAAATAGGACATGTCTTTTAAACGTACTTATAAATAAGTACTTATAAATGCCTGAGCACCACGTATCGGACTGAGTCATTTAAGACCACCATCCTGTGGGCCTGAAAGAACTCAGGCAGGTAACAGAGACACATGAATCCAAAGGGAAGCGTGGGCAGGGCAAAGCCCCAGCACCGCATTCCTGGGCCCTACAGGTCAAAAGTCATCCGCCTTCCCAGTCAGCTTTGTTTATGTCAATAGCATCAGTCCTCACTTCACCCCCATGCGCAAGCTTTTTTTTATGCTTATAAATCCCTTTCCTGCAATATTGCATTCAACTTCTCAAGCACCCATTAGGTAGTCAATGGGGATTACTCTAACAGGACACCTTTCTTCCAAAGCACTCCCGAAATACCACCTGAGAATCTAAAATCATATGAGCAGCATTCCACCTTTTAAGTCATCTTCATAGTACATGTGACAAGGGAGTGGAGGCAACTGCAGAAACAAGCAAAACCCATTTTATGCGATGCTCGTTGTGTCCAGAATTACAGCCAGTGATTCTTGAACACTTACTGTGTTCCAGACAGTTCTACGTGCTTGCTTACGGCTTTGGCTTCCTCGCCCCACAGCGTTCATAAAAGCAACAAATAAAATAATAGTAGACTCGTAGATGCAGTGCCAGGCTCTGTTTTGAGGGTTTTCTACAATCTTGTGAAAGTGGTACTCTAAACAGCCTGAGATTACGGATATGCAAGCTGAGGCTCAAAGAGTGTGGGTGAGTTGTCCCAGGTCACACAGCGGTAAGGCCTCAAAGCCAGGCCTCCCGAGCCCTTGTTCTTGACTGTGTGGTCCGCATCCACACTCCCAGTCCGGATCTGCAGCCGGGTCAGGCATTCTTCCCTCTGCCCTCATCAAGCGTCCTGCCAGAGGAGACAGGATCTAACTCCTGTTGAGGAGGTATAATTTCCTTTTCCCCCAACAAGGGATTAAAGTTTACGGCCTTGGCAGTTCTAGCAGGAATGGCCCACGGTCATGAATAATAGAGGCCTTGTCTCTATAACCCCAAATATCCAGCGGCAAAGTGAACAATTCCGACTTCATACTGTTTGCAAATCTCCAGATGGCTGGCAGCATGAATAGAGTTGGGCAGAGTCCAGGCTTTTGGTCATAAGGGCCTGGAGTTGAATATTGACTCTGCCTGTTACTAGACGTATGACCTCAAGTTAGCTCTTAAACCTCTCCAGGCCTCAGTTTCCACTGAGGGGAAAAACAGCTGCTTTGTGGGATTATCGTGTGGATTGAGTGAAATTACGTGTAAGGTGACTGGTGTACAGGAGGTGTCCTCAGCATGTGGCTGTCACTTGGGAGGCGGAGGGGTAGTTGTGAGGCTCTGCCATTTTGCTCCCATGAAACACAGTCTGACTTCTAGATGTGCAGCAGTGATCATGTTACAGGAAAGAAGAAGCACTGTGTCAGGCCGTGTGGGGTGAGACAGTGCTTGGACAGTGCACCGGCGTGAGGCCAAGGTCATGCTCTTCCATAGGAGACCTGCATTTAAATCTTAAGAACTATTACTGAGAAACCTTTACATAACAGTAATGTCATTAAAAAAAAACTTAAAGTAACTGAAATATTTGCCTCGTGTTGTTAGTTCAGCCTCCTATAACCAGGGTTACATGGAAAGGTAACCAATGCTAGGGAACGATCAGTACAGCCTTATACTTCTAGAAAAATGGTGTTGGATTCTTCTCTGTACATGCAATAATAATGCCGAAAAGGCCAACAGAGTGTTGACTGCCAGAGGAAGTAATGGGATTTTCTTTAATACACAAACCAGAATGATTTACAATCATCATGTCAATGGTTTCTCTGGGTCTGCAGAAATTGCTAAAGCACTAAGAAGGAAAAACCATTTCCATTGCACAGTGCGGTGAAAGGAGAATTGGAACTGGGGAGTCAGACGCTCCAGGGGTTGAATTCTGATCTTTTATTACTTGCTGAGTAACCTGGGGCAAGGCACTGAGTTCTCGGAGCCCCCACTTTTCTTGCCTGTCACAGCACTGGCTTCCTGAGTTGTGACCCTGGTGCTCCACCTCGAGTGTGCACCAGAAACCCCTTGAAGGCTCCTGAAACCGTAGATCCTGGGCCCTGCTCCTAGAGTTCCCTGATTCAATATGTCTGGGGTAGGACCGAGAATTTGCATTTCTAACAAGTTCACAGCTGATGCTTTTACTGCTGGTTTAGGGGCCCTCACATTAAAGAAGTGAACCATGCATGCTAAGATTGTTATAAACCATACCGATAATGACCGTGATGGTGACGATTGCATCGTTGCACCCTTGTCTCACGTGATCTTTCAATTATTAGGTGTGGGCAGAAGAAAAAGCTGGTGATCAACAATGGGAATGGAGCTGTGGAGGACAGAAAGCCAAGTGGACTTAACGGGGAAGCCAGCAAGTCTCAGGAGATGGTGCATTTGGTGAACAAGGAGCCGTCAGAGACCACAGACCAGTTTATGACAACCGATGAGACGCAGAACTTGCAGAACGAAGACGTGAAGATTGGGGCGTAATACCTACACCATGACCTTAGAAATCATATATAATCTTTACAGGGAACTGGGACATTCACAGATGCAATGTGCTACTGATTATTTCATTGCAGTTTTTTTTTTTACATAAAATTTTCTACTTCTTTTTGTTTATTGTGCTTTGTTTTTTGAAGTCAGTCCAACTTATAAAAATAGCATTGCTTTCTGAAATGAAGACCCAATTAACAATTGGCAAGAATTTGACTGTTTCAGTTCCCGCCTTGAAGCTGCTCACTCCTTGGGGTGTGCTATGGATGGCTTCTCACAAAAACCACACGTATGTCTTTCCTATCCCTAACCTTCCCTTCACCCCACCTCCCAGGTGACAGGCACATGCTAAGGACATCCCCAGAGCTGAGGGATTGGTTCTGGGAGGACATCTGAATGCGTCCATGTCGCCTCTTCAGGGGCCCAATGCCTAGGCATCGCCTTTCCAGTGGGGGAGGGATCGGGTGTACTGGTTACATATCCCCTCCTACAGACCCCCTGGAAATTTCTCATATGCTTCTGAGAATGCCCAAAGGGTAAAGCTATTTATCTGTAGTGAGCTATTTATCTGTTTTTGAAATATTAAACCCTGGAGGTCCTTTGATTAGTATGATTTTTTGTTGTTGTTGTTCCTTTGTCAGAGGCATAAAGGGGTTTAAGCTGATTTATAATAAACATCTGTCCTTCTTCCACTTTTACCTTTGGTGCTGTGATCCTTCGGTGTCTTAACCCCAGCCAGGTCTGGGTCCCCATAGCTCATCGCAAACCCGTGAGAGGGTCTCCCTGAAAGACTTCATCTCGGAGCTGAGTCCCTGCTCAGGCTCCCGCAGCCAGTCTCACGGAAGATCAGGGAAGACAGCGCTGTTTTCTTTCCGAAGCTCCAGAGGCTTTCTGTCTCGTCCTGACACCAGAACTGGGACAGCAGGAGCTTCAACAGCTTTTATGTTTTCATGGCCACCTGTGCTCCCTCCGAAAGGCTATGGGAAGTCACAGTACGTCTGCATGACTTTCTGTAGTGGTGGCCCGTTTCATGGATGCTGACCCCATTAGTGATGGCCAAAAACAATAAGGAAGTGCCTTTTGACCTCCTGTAATCAAGGGAGAAATAGCGGAAAGGGAAGAGGGCATAGACACTAGCCAACTGGTTGGCACAGATTAGGGAAGTTGGGGAAGTGAACTGTATCAGTGAGGCTTGAGTATTTTTATGTCTGTATTTGTTTATACTTTAACATTCCAGTTGTCTGTCCCCAATGAAGTTGCTACTCAGAAAGTTAAGTGCCTGGGGAATCTCTCAAAAGTTTGCAGGGTTTCCCACCATTGGAATCCTATCACCAGATACCAGGTTTATGGCCAAATAAGAGCTTAACATCTTTATCCCTTGCATGGCAAATCCTCTGCGGTCTTTATTCTTAAATTCAGAAGGCCCTGTTCGTCCCGGAACTTTCAAATGCTACTTGTGTTGGAAGAGATTGGATCTGTAAAGTCAGAGCTTCTATAAAACGGGACCCCGTTCCTTAGACGCCCCATAAAAAGTTATCTGGTGCCCAAACTAACATGCTTGACTGGAAATGTTTCTCAAACAAAAAGAAACAGAAGGAGGGGGAGAAGGAAGACTAGGATGGGGAGGAGGAAGAGGAGAAGGAAGAAGAGGAGGAGGAGGAAGAGTAGGAAAAGGAGGAGGAAGAGAAGGAGAAGGGAGAGGAGGAGGAAAAAGAGGAGGAGGTGGAAGGAGAGGATAAGGGGTAGGAGGAGGTGGAGGACGGAGGGGAGGAGGAAAAGGAAAAAGCTCCCATATAAATTAGGGCTGGACTTACACGAGGAGTTGATTCTGAAGGAGATATTTAAAGGCAAGAAGCCCGCTTTCTGCATTCATTTCCATCCTCTTTTCTCTCTCCCATACACCTTCACAACCCCATTCCTGCCGTGGTCTTTGAAACCCCCTTTTCCTTCTCCTGTCTGGTTTTGTTTTTATTTTCATGTTGAAAGAAAAGAAAATGGGCATGTGGTCATTCTGTTGTTCCTGCCACTAGTGTCTAAGTGCCTTCTGTTGTGCAAGACCTTTCCTGGCTCTTGAACCTGAACGCCACAAGCCACTGTGGGATCAGGTCAAGGAGGGCTACTCCAGGCCCCCACCTGTCCCCCAGATTCTCTTTAGGGCTGTAGATAGGCATTCAAGTCTCATGGCTAGGGATGGTTTCCCACTCCTTCTGGATATTCCCAACAAATAGGCTGAGAGAGAAGACTTTTTTCCTACTTTATTTTGGAATTAAATATGATCTTTCCTTTTATTATGTTGTGGTCCCCCACTTAGGTTTGCCTTTGTGTTCTCAAAGTGGGACTAGGGGAACTCTAGAACTTCCGTCTCATAGGTGCACTCTGCCTACAATACTGCCCGAAGGTCATGGACCAGGATGCATTGTCTCCCATTGGACATAATGGCATAATTCTGGAAGCACAGCTTGACTGCACATCATTCCTACCATCATCCCTACATGTCAGCTCAGGTGACCTGGGCTACATCATTAAACTGGGCCTTGTTTGTATTCGTAAGGGGTCAGCATTTCATTATTTTGCAAAGCTTAATAGAACAAAGATGAAAGCTCTCCAAAACTCAGAGCTTACAATGTAATTTGTCCTACAATCTTTTGTGTCTCCTGAAGGCTTCTGTTAAATTAGCACTGGGTGAAAAAAATCCAATAGGACAAAAGACACTTTCCTATGTATATTTTGCAGATTTTAGCTTGCAGAATGGAGTGTGCCAACAAAACCTCTCAGAAAGTTTTACATCAAGCCCATGACGCCAAGGATCAATTTCATAGCCAATGTTCATTCCATTCTGGTACAGTAGGAGTAGGAGAAAGGAAACCTCCTTCTTTTCTAGGAGACTAAAATATACTTAAGAACAAGAAAAACGTGTTTCATTCACTTTTCTGCCTTTTGTAAATCACTTCGAGTTTTTGAAGAATAGTCTGTTGTTCGCTCGTGTACAATGACCATTGTTACTCTGATTTTTCACAGCACTCCCTGCCTCTGACTTCTGTGTATTTACTGATGGTCCAGTAATAAGAAGGAAAGCACAATGTGTATATTGCCCAGTTAAGCACTTACTGGAAAACATTAAAAGGTTACTATTGAAAAGTTAAAGAAAATGGACTCGGGAGTCTCTGATTTAAGGGGCGTGGAAGCCTGGGAGGGGAAAACAGCTGGGGTTATCTGCCCATCTGGGTAATTTATAGGCACAAGGTTAAAGGTTTAGGAGGTGGCTGAAATTTCACACTCACATTATTTTTTCTAAAAGGAAAAATTCATGTATTTCTATCCTTGAGCGTCTTCTTTTGGAGAAAGTTTAATTTTCCATAGAAGGTGTATGGTCCACCTATTTCAAACTAAAGGAGCTATTGTGAAGTGTTAGTTCTTTAAAGCCAAGAACTACTCCTGGACTTCTGGGGAAAGAGAGGAAAGTGAACATATCTCCCTTTTCTTATACAAGACTCAGAAGACAGTAAGAGGTATTCCAGAAAGGCATAAACTAACAGGGCCAAAGAGAATGGAAGAAGAAACAACAGTAACTCAAATTTGATGTTGGAAGTGATGGTCATTGCTGACTGGCTGAATTTGTAAATTTGGAAAAGCTGAATCTTAAGCCAGAAATTGGGAAAGTTGAGAAGCAAGCAGATCTGTGTAGCAGAACCCCTCAGAGACTCAGGAACAGGCAGCACCAACCTCTGGATGGGGTAGAGGGTGGGTTTAAAGTCTACCTAAGACACAGAGTTAGAAACCCAGATCTCCTCCCCCCCTCTAAGTAGCTCTGTGAGTGTTCTTTACCAATTCCAGCAAATGATTGGAAGTTTTCCCTCTGAAGAGGGCAAAATAAAGAGTCTCTGGCTGAAAGGCAATAAGGCACCCCCAGCTGACACTAGACGTTCCACACTGAAAAGGGAAGCCATGCATGAGGAATGCTGGGATTGCCTTGTCATCTCCCCCAACTTGGCTCCCAGAATGTCAGCCCCAAGCATGAGTCCTCCAGGCAGAAGTTCAGTCTTTCTGGGCAATCTGATAAGCCTCAGAGAAAACGATGGAGTTACTAACATAATGGTTCCCCAAGGAAACACTGAGCATAGCAATCTACAGTAAAGATCACATCTCAGACTTCACCGGGACCACACAAGACTCTTCACTTTCCATGGCTCCCTCTTACACATGGAAGCTGAGATGATTCACAGAGAAGAAAACTTAAAAATAAAAAACATCATTAATAACGTCAATAAGAGAAGAGAAGATAGTTTGTGTCTATGAAACAAGAACACAATGCTAGGGTAAAAAACATTTAGGGACCACCTTAAAAAAGGAGATCTTTAACATTTAAACATGAAAGCACAGACTTAAAGGTAAACTCAATAGTAGGTTTAGAAAGTACAGTTAAAGACCCGTCCCAGGAAACAGCAAAGACAAAGCAATGGAAACAGAAGAAAAAGGAAGAAAAGTGGAGAATCATTCTAGGAAATCTGACATGCAAATAGTAGGAGTTGCAGAGAGAGAGAGATGAGCAAAATTGAAGAGAAAGAAATTATCCATGAAATAAATCAGAATAATGTCCCAGAACTGAAGAACATGAATATCTAAGCAGAAAGAACTGAGCCCTGGCTGGCGTAGCTCAGTGGATTGAGCGCGGGCTGGGAACCAAAGTGTCCCAGGTTCGATTCCCAGCCAGGGTACATTCCTGGTTGCAGGCCATAACCCCCAGCAACCGCACATTGATGTTTCTCTCTCTCTTTCTCTCTTTCTCTCTCCTCCTCCCTTCCCTCTCTAGAAATAAATAAATAAAATCTTTAAAAAAAAAAAAAAAGAAAGAAAGAACCAAGTGAGTGCTTAGCACAATAGATGAAAACGAATCAATACTAAAGCACATTATTTTAAGAATTCATAACAATGGAGGCAAAGAGATTATTCTATAACCTCTAGAGAGAGAAAAAAATGATAATACAGAAGATCAAGAATCAAAATAGAAGCACACTTTCCAAAATCACATTGAAGACCATGAAACAGTGCCTTCAAAATTCTGAGAGAAAGATTTCCAAGCCACAACTCCAATGTAGCTGAACCAAACTAAGTGAAAGGGTAGAAGGGAGACATTTCAAATATGCATTGTCTCCAAACCTGCTCACCCATTCTCAGGCAACTCCCAAAGAATGCACTCCAGCAAAACAAGGGAGTTACCAGGAAAGGGAAAGGCATGACATTCAGAAAACAAAGCAAAAGGAATTTCTAAAATGATAAAGATGAGATCCCGAGATGACAGCCGCCCAGACCATCTAGGGAGCAATCAGCCCAGATCGGAGAACAGACTAGAAAGTGAAAGAATAAATGCCTTGGCTTCACCGACTGCTAATTAAAAAGAAAATTACTCTTTGGTTACATCACTTAACTCTTGATCTCCATTCCAAAATGCAATAGCCTAAAACAACACACTTTTGGGTTTTTTTTTTCATGAGTCCACCCATGGACTGGGTGCTTCTGCTGATGTGGGCAGGGCTCAGTCAAGCATGATGGCACTCGCACAGGGGCCTGTGGTCAGCAAACAGGTTCGCCAGAATCTACGATGGCTTTATCTGGGATGGCCATATGACTGAAGTCTGTCTGTGTGTCCCTCACATGCCTTCAGCTGCCTGGCCCAAGCCTGGCAGGGATCCAAGTGATG